GCCCCAACTGTGTTAATGGGTCTACGATACAACTATCTTTGATCCATATTACTCAAAACGCAAATAGCTTATGCCCGTGAAAATTACAAAAAAAATCATAAATTTATTATACAGCGGTCATTTCAATTATAAGTTTTTCAATTTAACTACCATAACTTTTTGACAATTTGTCAATATAGTCTTTCTAACCAATATTAACGGAAATTATTGACGTAGACGCTAGCCATTGTACATGGCATCGCCGGTACTGATGTGAACAATTTTCGCAATTTCATAATTTTCAGATTTTTTTGTAAATTGTTTAATTCTTTTCTTTTCTTTTCTTTTTTCACTATGAGCCGGCAAGAGTTGGTACACTAGGCGAGGGCGTTGCTAAGACCTCTGCCAACCATTACTGAGGCCATGGACCAGCGGAGGGAAAAAGGAAAGAAAAGATGGAAAAAAAGGAAAAAAAATAATAAATAAATAAAGTAAATAAATAATTGCAAAAAATTTCCACGTCAACGCGACCAATGTCATGTAGGATGGCCGATATTCACGTTAGTAATTTGCGGCCAAAATTGGCCAGAAAGACTATATTGGCACATTATCAAAAGGTTTAGGATTAAATTGGTCAAATTGAAAAGTTTAGGATTGAATCGGCCGCCGTACAATAAGTAATTTGGCTGAATTAGAGTTGGAAGAAAAAACAATTTCTTTCACGAGTTTGATGTTATAAGCAAAAGGGGCAAGACAGAAATCAACTTCTCAGCTCGAGATGCACGAGGACAGTCTCCCTTATTTCCAAAGCAAAAATGGTCTTTTTCAAATGAAATTCGTCAGAAGATGTGGATCTTTGAAACCCGTCGGTGCTATAGAACGAGTGGACCGAATCCACGGTTTCTTACCTAAACATGGAAAAGCGAAGACCCTTCATGTGATGTGAAATTTACAGGACGTAAGGAAAGGAAAAGACATCTTTGCTTTTGCCATGAAAGAGGCAAAAGCCTAACACGACTTTGTATACCTAAACCAAAGGTTGTTGCTACTTTTATCACCTAATAGAACACCAATCGATTTCCGCAGGAGGGAAAAGAAAGGAGAAGCGTCGGATTGAGATCCGATGTCGTAGCGAATCATGCGCTTGTCATCGCCGATGGCTTCATTCGAAGTTTTCGTGACGCTCTTGGAATCCGAGTCGACGATTTATCTTTTTAGTACCCTTCGGGAGTGCATCACTAAGGCCATACTAAAGTGACGGAAGCCCGCCTGAATAGAAGTGCAAAATTCTCGTGAGAATATTGTGTCGTCATAACGTATGCATACTTTTGTAGTTCTTTATAAATTTTCCAATTTTTAGGGTTTTTTTTTTACGTTATTTGCTAACGTCTTTTTATTTTGTTAATTTACTTTTTAATTAAATGTGAAATTTTATCCACGTAACAAATCCACACGAAGAGCTTAAAGTTGGTTAAATGGGTGGTTGGTAGGCGTTTTGATTTATTGGATTAAATACGGATGTGTTTTAATAATGCGGATTGGGTCGGGTATGGATTAGGTCCGGGTCGAATCAGATATTCGTTGCTAAAATTGTATCAAATAAAAAATGGGTCGATTTTGGTCGAATCCAATTTCAACCCGACTCACCCGTTCAACGGGTCTATAATGCGGCATGTGTTGTTCTAACATCGCTCTACAATTGCATCTCGAGGCATTATGCACCTGATCATGGGCCGACGAGCCTTCCCAATTTATCGTACGAGCGTGCCTAGGGAACGGTTTTCGGCCCACCGAGCCCAATAATTGCGTTAGATAAGCAAAACTATATGTAACATGTGAAACGAATTCTTAGAGTCCACATGCGTTCTGCCAAGAATTTAGTTTCATTAAAACCGCGAAACGAATGGTAACATGTCGAGACGTGGCCCATGAGAAAACAGGGACATGTCGAGCAAAGCAAGAGAGAAACTTAGCTCGAGAAGGCTTGCCGGGCTTATGTTTTCGTGATCTATCTTTAGCCTTCTTAGGCTTGCCTGGAGTTGAGTTCAATTGGGCCAGGCAGCATCCACACAGCCTTGGCTTATTTCATTCAAATTTGGGAAGACAAAGACTTACATTTCTGCAAATGAAGCCTATGATGTTAATGTGTGGGTGTAATTTGGTGAATGATAGTGTTAAATACCAACTTAAATTCCTGTTTATAGAAGGGGGAAAGATTACCTGCTCAACTTATACTCCTGGTTGTTGTTTTAGAATTTGGAAACGAAAAAGAATATATATATTTTTAAGTTTTGAAAATTTACAGCAAAAGATATCCGTGGTCCTACGCATTGATTTGTATTTTGAACTGCGCTTTAGATATATCATGCTGATAAAGGTCGATGCGCGCGAGCTAGAATCTTCAAAAGTTGCAACGACCCCCTCCTTTCCATGTGCCCTCAAAATGAATATTTTAAGTAACCACACAAGGTGACGACCATTTGAGGGTGGATGTGGACTAATAAATCACTCAATATGGTCTTTCCTGACCGATGTGAGACTTGAGATGTCACAAACTTGATAAATTAAAATTAATAATTACTCCGAACAACCATATAAAGCCAGTGTGGCCTTCAATTGTTCATGGCGAATATGACACGGACGGTCACCGAACTTTTGTACAATGTGCAATGTCATTCCTGAACTTTTAATCTTCAATGTGATCCCTGAAATATTGATAAATATTCAGTCTAGTCCCTAAACTACATGAAAATATTCAATAAGGTCCTTCTGTTAATTCAAGTCAATGGAATCTGCTGACGCGTCTTCCAATTTGTTAAGTTTGAACTATGGACAATAAAAAAAAGTTTCGAATGAATCATCCAAATAATATAATCCATCTCAAATTAGGATATAATAATCAATGTCATCAAATAATGATGGATTTTTTTTATCTCCTTTTCTAAAGTAGATGATAAAAAGATAAACATGTTGACTCATCATTTTTAAAAATCTAACTCAGCATATAATAATATGCATTATCAAATAATGTCAACGTATGATGTCGTTTGAGCAAACGGAGAAACTAAATTGAATATTTACCAATAGTTTAGGATCTACATTGAACAAATTAAAAATCTAGGGATGACATTGCAAGTTGGGCCAAAATTTATGGACCATTTGTGTCATTTTTCCTTATTTAAGTGGGGAGGTTTTTTTTGTAACTTTAGCATGGAGACAATTTTGCAACATCCAATTTCATGTATTGATATCCCAAAGTCCCTCATCGGATGGGAAGGCCTCTTAATATGCATAAAAAAGACTACTTCTAAGTAGTGATCTCCTCGTGAGGAACAATGTAGCAAAAGTCCTATGTATGGAATACAATTGAATCCTAAACTTTTTTATTGATTCGATTAAATCCCAAATCTTTTTGAAATAGAGCAAATCGAGTCATTTATTTGTGTGACATTCTTAAATTATACTTTTGAACAAGTTTTACAATTTAATTTCGATGAAGATTTGTAACTTTATTAAAAAATTGAAGACTCCACTGCACATTTTTTTTACGAAAGTTTAGAATTTAATTATACCAATTACAGAGTTTAGGATTTCATGACATTCCACACATAAGGTTTAGGACTTTCGTATAATAATCCCCCACCTCATCTGATCACTGGAAAACTCCTTTTAAGGGCCTGACCCACACAAAAAGAGACAGATTGTTAATAATAGTATCAAAACAGAACACCAGTAGTACATTGGTGGTTCGACAAAGCAAGCACTAGCTAACGCAACAAGGGTAAGAGGACTCGAAAAGCGTAACTCTTAATGGACTTCCAGGAGAGCGAAGAAGAAGGAACGAATTGAGTTAAGCATGCTTAGACTAGAGCACTAGTATGATGGGTGATCTCCTAGGAAAGCGCCTACATGTATGCATGGACGGGCCAAAGCGGATAATACATCAAGTTAATCAATCAAAGGATATCACACGCTTAATCTCAGCCACTTAATCATATAAGACTCATACAGATCCCGCAATTTTAGAGGGTTGAGATTTAGACGGCTTATGGACACCTAATGTAAATGAGTGTTTTTAGTGCTTGCACAAAAGGGATACTAGCAAAAATAGTTCATAAACTTTGTTCTAATGTGCAATTTCCTCCCTCTTGAACTTTTGATCTGTACAATGTAGTCCTTAAACTGTGGCCCAATGTAAAATGACATCCCTAAACTTTTAATTTGTTCGATATAGTCCATAAACTATTGATAAATGTTCAATTTAATCTCTAAACTAAATAAAAATATTTAAAAGTTCACGAATAATATTAAATATTGAATTAAAATTCGAGACTATATTAAATAAATTAAAGGTTTATGAACGGTATTATATGTTGGATCAAAATAAAAAACAAATTCAATGATGAGGTTGTACGAATCATTTGCCTCCTTCTCCGTACGTACGAAATGTCTTCTCGGGTGGGTATTCCCTAGATCACGAACGCGGAAGCCGCGCACTCTCGGTCGTGGAAGACACGAATTCGCTCCAGCACCGCAGCCGCAGGCGACCATTTCCCCCTTCAACCTTCTCGCGCGCGCGCGCGCACGCCCCACCGACCTCATACTACGTGTCAACACGGTAACCGTACGCTCTCCGCGTGTCCCCACGTCGAGCCCCCCACGTGTCGATCTCCCAGAGCCCCCCGTGCCCACCCTACCTACAGTACGTCCGGTCGCAGAGAATCCCGTCCTCCAACAGCTGCCCCCTCCCCCCCGATCCGCCTGGGTCAAGTGTCCTCTTCCTCGGTTTCTTCCTACGCAATTTCCAAACCGGAGAAAAAAATCAGAAAAAAAAGAAAATTCCAATCCCCGCTCCCTCCGCCGCCCGATCGCCGCCGCGATATTCCCTCTTCCTCCGTCGCCATCCACCGCTTCCGCATTCCTCGACGCCGCCTCTCCCAATAACCAACCGATTCTTTGCCCCCCCTCTCTCTCTCTACATATATATATATATATATACACATCGTCGCTTCTCTGAATTCGATCATCCAATTGCACGCAAATCTCGGAAACACCGCTCTCTCTCTCTCTCTCTAGATGAACCTGCTTCTCCTTAGCTCCTCCGCCTCCGCCGCCGCCGCCGCGCTCCGCCGAGTCGACGCCGGCTCCCGCTCCTCCGATCTGGCTTGACTCTCCGGATCGATTTTTTTCTTTTTCCTTCCCACATGCATCCCTTCTGCTGCGTCACCACGGTCTCCGATCAGAAGGCTTCCCACGCTCTGCCCTCCCATTTCTCCATGGCCGCCGTCGCCGGTCAGGCCGGGCCCGATCCGCCCGCGCGATCCGCCGGCCACGTCCACGCCGAGGACCACCGCAACGGCGACCACCGGCCGAGCGCGATCCCCGCCATCGCCGTCCCCGGGGCCGACGCGGCCGCGAGGGAGCAGCCGGCGCTGGACGTGAAGATAAACGACATCGTAGGGAACGGGATATCGGGGATACTGTACAAGTGGGTGAATTACGGCAAGGGATGGCGGCCGAGGTGGTTTGTGTTGCAAGACGGCGTGCTGTCGTATTATAAGATCCACGGGCCTGATAAGATCGTCGTTAATCAAGAGACCGAGAAAGGATCGAAAGTTATCGGTGAGGAGTCCTTGAGGAGGGTCTCTCGGCGGTCGACGGCTGGGCCGTCGCAGCTTCGGCGCAAGCCGTTCGGTGAAGTCCATCTCAAGGTATTGATTTTGTGGTTTCATTTTGCTCCGTATCAGCATTTCCTACTTGAAATACATGTTCATTGTATATTCATGGCTGTACTCTCCATTTTCCAGTGTTCTTAGCACATTGAAGTCTCTGATAATTCTATCCTTCTTTGTAACTTTAGTCGGTACATGAGCTGCGGCTTCATGCTTAAATTTTTCACTGGAATGAAAAACTTGGGATATGCACGATCCTTACTGTTACAATTTGAGATGGTCTGTTGATACAAATCAATGGCTTATTGACAAGTCAACTAATTCTGGCGCAATGTGGCCTGAAACCAAAAACTCGATTCCCGTGGAAGATTAAGCTAGGTTTTTTATGTGGCGAACAAATTGATGGCTGGACGCAGATCAAGTTACGGTGTGTGACTTAAGGCCATCTCTAGTGTAGATATACTGATTCATCCCGCATAACGTCGATTCTACATCTTTGTGCATCTTCTTTGACTTTTTCTCAGATTATGGACTTTATGATGATGTTGGAGATAAGTGTTTTTATGGATTGCCTGATAGTAAGACCTTAGTTATAATGCTTATCCTTTTCAAGTGAAATGTTCGGTGAACTCTTTATTGTGCGAACTGGCTGATTTAATTCTAGGCTCGACTCATCATGGGCAGGTCTCATCTATCCGCGAAAGCAGATCGGATGACAAGAGGTTTTCGATATTTACTGGAACAAAGAGGCTGCATTTGAGAGCAGAAACTCGAGAAGATCGACTTGCGTGGATGGAAGCACTGCAGGCTGTCAAGGACATGTTTCCTCGAATGTCTAACAGTGAGCTCATGGCCCCCATGGATAATGCAATTGTTTCCACTGAAAAGTTGAGACAGCATCTTCAGGAAGAGGGTGTCCGTGAAGCTTTAATCCAGGAATGTGAACAGATCATGAGAGATGAAGCTGCAGCTATGCAGGATCAGGTGTTGCTTCTCAAGCAGAAGCAGCGGCTACTAATTGACACTCTCCGGCACTTAGAGGTACATGTTATGCAACTTAGAAAACGTCGTGCCAGTCGGGATTCTTCTTCAGTTAGTCCGACTACTCCTGAGAATACTGCACATTCAACCAAATTTTGATTTTTTACATAAATTTCCTTGATGCAGGCTCTCTGTCTGCTCTTCATTGTATCTGATCCATTTGTAATGAATTCTTTTATATACTATAGACACGTTTTCTCTGAATGCTCATGAATTTTTTTATTTTATGCCATTACATATTGGTTGTTTTGTTTCAGTTCAAAGTAATATTATTCAGTGGAGGAGCCATAATATTGCAATCAATTGCTTTTGGGCCGTGCTTCTCCTCTTTCCTTTTCTTACCTTTTAGTTTGGGACTCTGGGTGGTTTGCCAATATCTGCGCTCTGTTTTGCTGTGAATCAACTGTCGGACTGCTCCTATGAAACTTTGGGTAGTAGATTAGTATTTCCTTTGGATCTCTTGATATAATGTAAGCTATGACTTATCTTTCGGGCTGCGCCTTATTCTTTTCTGGGTCTGATGAGAGCCATTTAATGCGACCTCTTCTTTTCTATTGTAACATGGAGGCTTGGATATTTTACATGCTATTACTTGGATTTCGTTTATCGATGGATTAATTGTGCACTGTGCACAATTTTTCAACTTAAGTCTGAAACACTATTTTGAAACTATATGAATTTACGTACTTTAATATCAAAAGATGTTTGTAATGGCTATTACTCTTTCTGACAGTTCGCTTATTCATTGCAAGCTTTCTCTCCCCATTAGTAAGAAAGAAACTTTATTGGAAGTAAGGCCTTAGTACATGGGGAATATAGGAAAACCGAAAGTTAAATAAATGTTAGGTACATTCTGCTCCTTTTATATTGGATGTGTTAAAACCTGGCATAATTGACATAATAGTGCCCTTGCTATATGAAGAACCTTTTGCAGCAAGCCTCTTATTTCTTGTGTTTAGCTGATGAAAGGGATCAAAATGTGCTCAGCTGGATAATGCTTTGTTCTTTCTGCAGCTTTTTCACAAACCTCTTTGTTCATTCCTTAATTTTTTTCGGGTTCTATTTTCCCATTATTTTGCTTTCTCTCTTGTAAACGAGCAGTATGTTATAGGATAATGGAGGATGAACTCAATTGGTGTTATCCACTATCTTCACTAATATTGAGGATGCCATTCTGGTCATTCCTAACTCTGTCGTCCTTTATATTCCTCATTCTTCCTTTATCTCTTGTAAATGATACTAACCAACAGTGGGGGATAAACTTCAAGTAATGCTATTCACTAGGTCCACCTTATACTAAGCATGCAAGATCATTGTGTTCTCAGTGAATTTATTTTTCTGGCGTTGGCCACATTTTGTAGCTGGGGCAACAGCATTGTTATAATTTATTGACCAGTTTGGAGGTTCAATTGGCAGAGAGAGTTTGCTAGCAAAGTTGACTAGCTTTTGGTGTGAGATTGTCCAGTCTTCAGTGATGTTCATCTTGTTGGGTATGTTTAGGAGGCTGATTGTGTCCTTTGGAAAGAAGAAGAAAGAGAAGAGAGAGGAGGGAAAGGGGGGGGGGGGGGGGGGGAGGTTGGGGTTATTGGGTGAGATAAGCAGCATGTGTAAAACATTACTGGTCAGTAGTCTCCCAAATGTTGTTTATTTAATGCTGAAAGAGGAGGAGGTAAAGTGTTTTGAAGGGTCTTATTGTGCTTGAGACTTTGTTTCTTCCGGTAAAGTAAGCTTCTATTTCTGTTCTACAATAGGGATTTTGCGTTCTCTTTTTTTCTTTCTCCAAGGTATGATAGCCTTTTGGTTTCCGCTTGCAATAAACAAGTTGCGAATGTTGGTATTATTACTTGCAATGAAATTTTTAAATGCGGATCGTCAGAAAATTATCCTTTCTCTACGCCCAAGGTAGATATTAGCAGTGGCTCATTTATGAATTATCATTGTCTTGTATTCTCATGAATGTTGCCATCTTATTGTAATAAATTGGATCTGGCTGCAAATCCCTGATGCATTTATAGGATTTTCTACTTTGACATCCTCCCAAGTGCTTAACATTCCAGTTTTCTGATGTTTTAATCCTGTTAAAAGTATATTATCCTGGTCGTGGGCTTTATTCCTTGTTTTCTGATGTTAAAATGAGAAACTGGAATGATGTTGTGGTTTTTGTAGACAGAAAAAGTTGATCTGGAGAACACAGTCGTCGATGAGAGCCAAAGACAGTATAATGATCATGAGGCTTCTTCTTTGAGGCAAAATAATTCCAGTGGTGAGCTTATGCAATACAAATACATTCTAAGCTAATTCTGATGTATCTGCATTGCAACGAAGCAAAACTTCTGTGCTGATAGTTTTGGTTTAGTTAATTCATGTTTTTGCTAGATATTTATGGACCTGCAGAATACCTGTTGTGATATAATGACTAATGAACCGGATAGGCTAGGAAGGATAGGTTCATCCTTATCTTTTGCTGGAACAGAAATTTCTTATTTTTCTATTTGATAATAGGTGAAAGTTCCACTTTCATTATTCTTGAGGTTGTATTTGTACGTGTTGATGATGTGACTCTTGGATGGCTTTTGCATTTTCTTGTAGCAATAGCATTCTTATACTTGTTTTTGTTATATTTAAAAGCAGAGGCTAGTGCAAGTGAATCTGATGATGATAATGAAAGAGCAGATGCTGCAGAAGAAGAAACAGAGGATGAGGACAATGCCTTCTTTGATACTCGGGATTTTTTGTCATCTAGTTCTTTCAAGAGTAGTGGGTCTGATTTGCGCAGATCATCTTCTTCAGATGATGAAGGCCTCTACATTGCTGAATCTGAAGATGATATTGATCCTTCCATAAGCTCAGCCGGGTTGAATTTTCCATATGTCAAGCGACGTAAGAAATTGCCTGATCCCGCTGAGACAGAGAAGGGCGTCAGTCTTTGGTCTATGATAAAGGATAACATAGGGAAGGACCTCACGAAAGTATGTCTTCCTGTTTACTTCAATGAGCCTCTTTCTTCTTTACAGAAATGCTGTGAAGATTTGGAATATTCTTATCTCATTGACCGGGCAAATGAATGGGGGAAGAAGGTATGCAGTTTGATGAGATTTCTCTGTTCTGTTGGGTCTAGAGCCCATGAATGTTATTGGCATTCTACTGATGCTATTAATGTGTTATGATGATTACTCTCTCGTCTTTTAGTCCAAGTTTCTCCTCTAATTATGGAAAGAAGAAAGTTCCTCCTCTCTATTTGTTGCGTGATATACATCTGCTCAGTGTATAGTGCGGAAGTGTGAAGTTTTCAGCCATCTATTCTTTGTTTACTGCTAATGACTTAGCTCTTTCTATAAGTATCTCACACTCAATCATCTTATGAGCTTAAAATCTTTTGTTAGGAACTTGTGGTGACTGGGATTCTCATATGCTGCATCTTTCGTCCTTGTATGGTGGATGAACTTTCTTATAATATCTGTTTACGTGGATATAAACGAACCTTTATGTTAAATGCAGACAAGCACATCGCTGATCAATTGAACTGTTGTGACTAAATAGTATGGAAAATGTTTTTATTAATATCATAAGATAAATTACTTTTACAATTGCAATTTTTCCCTGTGGTTTGTTTATTCACTTTTTTGCTCATGACCATTGTTCCAAGTTTTCAGTGCTTCTTAAATCTGTTGTTTCTTGCAAAATTCAGGGTAACAGCCTTATGAGGATTCTTAATGTGGCAGCTTTTGCTGTATCTGGATATTCTTCAACTGAAGGAAGAATTTGCAAGCCGTTTAATCCATTATTAGGGGAAACATATGAGGCTGACTTTCCGGATAAAGGCCTACGTTTCTTCTCAGAGAAGGTAACACCAGAAAAACTTTAAGATCCCATCAATTACGATACAATGTCTCTTTTTTGGGGATGAGTTGTAATTTAATTGTAGATATAACTGTGGTAACTCTTTTCTGGGACAAGTAACAGCTACTTGAACCTTAATGCTGGACTGAACTAGCTTCTTGTTTCTGTGAGATTGCTCTAGTTGTCGCAAGGTTATACGTTATCTTGTCTACCAGTTTCCTAGAAATTACATGTCCTCCTTATCTCTGACCATTGTTGAGGCTTATCCGTGCCAAAACGTAATCAGGGGATTAGTTGAGGCTAATAATTTGCTATTGAATACATATGGCAGCAAAGTGGAAGATATTGCTTGCCACGCTTCGCTGTCTAGAAATGAACATGAAACCACCAACAATTAGGACTATAAAGAAGAGCAGTGTGGGTCACCGTAATTTTTTTTATGCAAGCCACATTTTCTTTTTGACATTTATTCAGATGAAATTCCCATTTTACTTTCATGAAATGGCTTATCTACAGATCTTTTTGGAAGTCAGTGGGCGTGCTAAATCTGAATTCACAATTTCGTGTCAGGTCAGTCATCATCCCATGATTGTTGCATGTCACTGTGACGGTACTGGCTGGAAATTCTGGGGAGACAGTAATTTGAAAAGTAAATTCTGGGGCCGTTCAATACAGCTTGACCCCGTTGGTGTTTTGACCTTGCAATTTGAAGACGGTGAAGTTTTCCAGTGGAATAAGGTAAAAATTTTGATCATTTAGATGATAACCGTAGTGTTTAAGGTTCGTGTTATCAAGATAACTTTATCTTGCAGGTGACAACATCCATCTACAATCTCATATTGGGAAAACTTTATTGTGACCATTATGGAACTATGCGCATACAAGGCAATCGTGACTATTCGTGTAAGTTGAAATTCAAGGAGCAGTCTATTATCGACAGAAATCCTCACCAGGTTCTCTATCTCTCTCTCTTTCTCTCGTACTCCCGTCCATGCTTACCCCTTGGGCACAAGCTGTGGCATAGAAGCATCTTATAACTTCAGTGGTATATTTTTGGTTAGTGAATGGTTTCAAACCTCATTTGCATTTTCATGGGTTGTTAGGTTTGGGTAGAATCTGATGAACTTGAGCGTGGAAAAGCTTAGGTATTAAATGTTGATATCGAAAGGCCAATGTTGTGATAATGATCAGTACTGTAAAAAAAACATTTCCTCTTCCCTTCAATAACTGGTCCTGAAAAATTTGAAGAACATATAGAAGTTTTCTTGCTCAAGTAGTTCTTTGTTCAGTAAAGGGACAGTACAGTATATTCAAGTTTAACTGATGCAGCAGCTCATGTGTGACCAGATACTGATTGGTTGCATATGGCCATTTTTGTGCGTGTCAATCTCAACCGATAGCACCCTCATATGTGATCCTTGTGCTTTTAAATTGACCTCTTTGCTTCAGACCAAAAAAAATGATCTCATTGCTTGGCTCTTATTCTCTGTGGAGTTATATAGTTGAGATATTTTGAAGCGGGTCATAACTTGCTAGGCCTTGGTTGAAAGTGATGGAGGGTGAGATCTTTCATAAGGAATCAGAAATGCTTGTGCTGTTGATCTTATGACTTGTTCTTTAGTCATGACTGATTCAGAGCTTCATTTCATTAGATAATATCAGCTGATACATTGAATGAACTTTCACAGTAATATCAACTGTTTGACATATTTATCTCTTGTGGCCTGGATAACTTACTCCTGATGGAGAAAAATGTTGGAGATGTATTGTGTTCCTTCTGCAGTGCAGCAATTCAGCTTCATGAGGAAGAATGCATTCTTTTTTTACAGGTACATGGTATAGTTCAAGATAGGAGTGGGAAGACCGTGGCAACTTTATTTGGAAAATGGGATGAAAGCATGCATTACATAATCGGAGACTGCTCTGGGATAGGGAGAGGATCTGACTCATTATCTGAAGCCCGCCTACTATGGAAACGTAGCAAGCCTCCTAAATATCCTACAAGATACAACTTAACACGCTTTGCCATAACGCTGAATGAGCTTACCCCTGGGCTCAAGGTGATGTCTCAATTCCCGAATTCCCTTTCCTGCCAATATTAAAACAAAAGCAGAAATTGCAATGTTTGTGTGTGTGTGTGTGGAGAGAGAGAGAGAGAGAGATTCTTGGAATATGAGATTGTCCGTTAAAGATAGCTGGGGCCTACCTTTGCTGGATTTTTTTTTAGATTTCTATAGGACTTCGATATTTGTTAACCTTAAACTTAATTTGTTCTGGATTTCTTTAAGACTAAAATTGTACGAAAGAATACTGCTGAAAATGTAGATTTAAATGCACTGTACATAGGACTTTTTCTTCTGTACGTCTGAAATTTATTGCCCACAAAAGTAATAGCTAATCTTTTTAAGTACTTGTCATTTTATTTAGTCGTTAGATTTGTGTACTTCATTTCTGCTATGTTCATTGCCGCTATCTTGATTATTTTCGGGTGTTCTTTTTTTGAGATATTTATATTTAACAATAGATTTTTGCAGGAGAAGTTGCCACCTACAGACTCAAGCCTTAGACCTGATCAGAGATACTTGGAGAATGGGGAGTATGAAATGGCAAATTCAGAGAAGTTGAGGCTAGAGCAGCGTCAACGGCAGGTAAATAGAATGTCCCATCTTATTCTGAGTCAATGTCCTGTGGAGGTTTTTTTTTAATTCCGATTTTGGGTTATCTATGTGTTTGTTTTTTGTGGTTTTTGCTTGGGGGTCGGGGTGGGGTGTGAGCATTTTTATGTTATGAAATGGTTCTCTACTGAGTCTAGGAGACTTCAAATTAGATATTCACATAAGAGAGAGATTACCTAAGTTAGCAATGGCTTGTTCGACTAAACAGGAGGCATTATCATCAGCTTAATGAAGGATGAACTGACCATGAGCCCAGAGTCCGCTTAGTGTATGATTAAATGTACTAGTGGTTGTAGGTAACATGTAATTTCCTATATACAGTTGGACATACTAGGTGGGTGGACATAAGCGGCTTTGACATGGACTTTTCAGTTTGGAAGGCGTATACCCAATTGTCAACCACACTAAAAAAGAGGAGAAAAAAGAAAACAAGACATGTCACAGCTAATTGAGGCCATCGGTCAACACGTGTTTATAAACCCGATAGGATCACATTGAGAAGAGGAGAATCTTGCACTATTTGCACTATTTGCCAGAGTTATATTTCTGTCTATAATGAAGAATTGGTGGAATCATGACCATTCAGTCTGTAAAATGAGTGTTGCACCTAAATAAGTAATGAGCTTTAGGAATTTGATAGGCACCAAAACGTGCCTGACAGGATGTAATAACCTTGAGAGAGAGAAGGGGTGCAGACTCCGTCTTTAATTTCAAATAATGGTCAGTCCATAATAGCATCTACGACAAAGATGTTATTGACTAAGTATGAATGCTGTGCTCCTTGAAAATGGAGATACCTGTTGAAAATTGTGCATTAGGTGCAAAATTTTCTCTGATATGTAATTATATGACAATTGGGTGCTTGTCCGAACTCGAGCATCAATGAAATTCTACACAGTTGCACTGCATCCTATTTTATTGAGGCCAATTGTCTGTTTAAGAATGCAGAGAATCTTACGTTGCCTCTGCTGCCAAATAAAAAAAAAGTAAGGCGACGGAAAGTTAGTTAAGATAAGAAAGCTTAATCAATATGTTCAGTTTCATTTGCTTCAGAAATGTCAAATTCAATTCAGTGCACTGGTGGCACAACCTTGGCCTTAGAAAGCAAGTAATGCAGATTGGTATGTGAGATAAATGTCGAAGAGCATAGCATGGAAGTCTTTTCGTTTCGAACTTACCTTCGCTCTTATGAAAAGCTCAGATATATGTTTGCCTATTGTTATGACAAGTAGTTAACAATGAGACAACTGAAATCAGGCCCGGAAAATGCAAGAGAGGGGCTGGAAACCACGGTGGTTTGCGAAGGACAAGGCAACTGATACATACAAGTACATCGGCGGGTATTGGGAGGCTAGAGATCGCAGAAATTGGGAATCGTGTCCCGATATCTTTGGCCAGGTTCCTTCAGAGCAACTAGAATAGGAGCTCTCTCTCTCTCTCTCTCTCTCTCTCTCTCTCTCTCTCTCTCTCTCTCTCTCTCAAATCGTTGATTCTTTCTCAAGTTTTCTCAATGGCTGGCAATTGACAAGTTTGGATGGCAGTTTTGCGGCCAATGTGATTGCTTGAGATTAGAAGCTAATAAAAGAAAGCAGCAAGGACTATCCATTATGCCGATAATCGAGTCTAGCATTGTGATTTTACCATGCCAGGAAAGAAGCACTTGATTTCTAGTTTGAGATTGTATCAGCCTTTACTAGTTCCGCTCAACATCCATTCGATGCCCCTCCCAACTAATGTTTGTTATTGAGTTGATCATTGTAACTTGTCTTTTTCTTTTTCTTTCTTACTGTTTTTCATGTAAAGCGCAGCCTTTTCTCTTCTTATTGGTTATCCTCAATTCAGTGAGGATATCGCTGCCATGTACGCACGATTTTTTCTACAAATAGTATTATACAAAGAGAGAGGAACAAGGACAGATTTATTGGTGGATGTTCCCTTGAAAAATGCAGCATTTTGTTTGCTATTTGCGGTCGATGGACGCATGTCTCGGTAAGATTTTTTCCATTAAGACTTCAGGCAAGATGCGGTGAATTGGAAAAAGCATGAAACAGAAAACATGTTACTGAAGAAGAACTACACTACGTCTACAGTACCGCAGTACCGAGGTGCAACACCTATACTACTTGTTACGGACATATTGAACACCTTTTCTTTGAGAGATTGTATCGACCAAGAGAAATGAATACCTTTTCCATTAAGAGATTGCATCGACCAAGAGAAATGGTATTGAGAAACTCATCCTAGAAGTCCTAAATTTATTATACGATCCGAGTTTCAGATCGCCAGTTGTGACGGTCAATGTTGATTGAGTTGATGAATTTCATATCGCCAGTTGTGTCGGTCTGAGTTGATGAATTTTAGATCGCCAGTTGTGACAGTCAATGTTGATTGAGCTGCTGCATCAATAATTTTCAGTCAAAATTAGCTAGATATACTACATTGCAAAATTGTCTAAAAAGTTTAGGACTACATTGGTAAAGTGAAAAGTTTATGACTGAATTAGCAATCAAAAATTAAGTTTAGGACTTTTTGGAATAAACTTCTGAATTGTATTCATCGAGAGAAAAGGGACTCCTATGCGGCGCCGAAAAACTCCATCCCTCTCTACCATTCTCAGGCTCTTACAAGGATAGAAGGCGGGACACATCCCTGCGACATGCCGTCTCAAGTCATTCTCCCTTTGGACAAGCACATTTCAGCAACCCCGTGTCCAAAACAAAGCAACGTTCGATTGTAGGAAGAAGAGAACATGAATGTCTACTGACTCCAGCTTATTTGCAACTGTTTAAGCCATCACATTTCAATCACGATTAGCAGAGTATAACGACGAAAAAGACAACCACCTCGAGCGGAAAACCATCTACGTGCCTGATTCCCCTGTAGCTTTGTATGTCAACCAGTTCGTCTCCAGCTCAGGTATACTTCCAGTCTACCTACGGGAAGTCGTCATCTTAAATGCAGATAAAGGAGTTCCCCTGTCCTTCCTGGTACGGCCATTCGTTCTCGTTCGCTGCCCTCTGCACGGCAAACCATCTACGTGCCTGATCCCCCTGTAGCTTTGTATGTCGACCAGTCTCTTAATGCAACTGGCATTCTCTTTGTCCTGCAACAACCTGAGACTGTTACAAACCTAAACTTTCATACCTCCCGCTAAATTAAGGAGCCGCGGAGTGAGATGTGAGAACGGGGACAGATTCGAAGATGTATATCATATGATCACCATATTTCTGCAGCCTCAACAGAGGAAGGACGCCTAATTCCCACATGTTGGCTGTACTGAAATTTGAATCGACAAAGAAACTGACTAGACCAGTGTTAAGACCCAATAAACACATTTTATCCTATGTTTTGTTTCGTTGCCTGAGAGGCTCCAAGCAACAAAGTAAGCAACATGAAGGTAGAAAAAACGAGCACTGTCTTCCCTAAGTCGTGATCTAGAACCGATGACTGTGACACTGAAACCTCGACACGAAGTCAGAATAACAGAGAGCAATACCAAATTATGTCCAATGTCGTAGCTGAGGACCTCGTTGCGAAGCGACTCGAGCTCTATCCCCGACAATTCCCTGGTCGGCTTGTTCTCAATCTGGAGCTCGCACAGTATCTGGCGAGCCGTGGAGCGGCCAATCCCCTTTATCTGTTGGAGAGAATACGTCAGCTTCTTATCATCAGGAACCTCCGTGTTCCCGATGCGAATTCCCCGAACGCCCTGCTCGCGAAGCCGCAGGATGCATCAGACTTCCCCACAAAACACGACACGACAGGCAATCATTTTCTCAGCCCAAAGGCCAAACCCCATTCAAGTGATCAAGCGTCACCACCACCCAACACCATCAGTCTATCATAAAAATCCAAACTTTAACCTAAAGGAAACCGAGCCACGCGATTCCAACAACACCCTTTTAGAGAGGACCGGATTTGAGGTGATGGGTGGCCATCCAATTCAACCCAAAGCCCCAATCGAATCGCTCCCGGTTGCACGACGAAACATCATCGTTCAAGCGAAAGCGGGGTAACAATCACCTGGGCGTTTCGGAGGAGCCGCCGACCAGCATCAGCGGATCTTCGAGCTGAAGCGCGTAGCGCGAACATGGCTGGGAAACGTTGCAGCGGGTCGGCAGAGCGGCGAGGTTCCCCTTCTTCTTCCTCGGGATCACGAGGAGAGGAGGGCCTTCTTGCAGTCATGCAAAAGGCCAGTTCTCGGCCCAATAACTAGCTCTAGCCCAAGCATTGCAAGGATCTATTTTGATATAAATATATGATTATATTATACCACAATATTACTAGATATATATATATATATGCATATTAGTATCAAAGAGACCAGCTTATTATTTCTACAATTTTTTTTTCATTGGTTTGTATTGATTAAGCTAGAGAAATCAACAGAAAATTTGTTAGGCTATGGTTGCATGGATTGGTTAAGTTCATTTTTCACAGTGGAATCACTAACTTTTAAGGACCAAACAATGAGATTATTTTCCAATTAAAAGAAATTAAATCTCATATGTAATTTGTTATTTTCATCCGCAAGTCGTTTGTCTCCAAGTAATTGAATTTCGCTTCTACGCATTTGGCAATTTGAGTTAATCGCATTTCTGTAATGTCGCACTTGCGCAAGGTTCAAAAGGCAAAAGATTATTATATCTCGTAAATATCCAGAAATTCGACTTACCAGATGATCGGGCTCAAATGGATCGCAGCCATGTTAGAGTCTAGTTTGCTTATGACATGTATGATTTCTATCATGATCGGCCGAATCGGACAATTCATCAACATAAACTTATTCGTTCAAGCCCAAAACGGGTTTCCACGTTGTAAAGAAAATTTCATTATGAATAACTGCTTATACGACGTTGTGACATAGATATGATTGCACGTTCACACGAATTGACCGCGAGTTTTCTGAACTTTTTGCTTAGATAAATCATCGATTAAATATATTTGAGTTTTGTAATTATTAAACATGAAGTGATGCAGTGGCTTATTGATTAGAGACTTTAGGCTAGTCCATTTCAAGATATCAATAAATTCTAAGTTGGCAGTGTTCCCAAAACTTGGGGAGATGACGATTTCAAACTTGAAACGTTCCACTGATTTGAAAGAAGCGGTTAGACATACAAGAAACACTACTCGAAGCACATTCCATGTGCATACAGAATACAGACACATCTATATCCCCATCACATCCATTGCTCTCACCCGATTTCGTCATGACCTCGACGTCGAAGCAACCGCTCCGTCGCGGGAAAACAGCGAGGCAGCGCCGGCATCGACGAACCAGACGAGCTTCCCGTCGACGGGCCGGATCATTTGGGCCGGGCACGACGCGGGGGGGCTCCGGTCCGCCATGGCCTCGCGGAAGGCGCGAGCCACGTCGCTCCCAGAGGCCACGATCGCCACGTTGGCCGCGGCATTGATCACGGGAAGCGTGAAGGTCAGGCACTCCCTCCGCATGCCGGGCACCGAGACGGCGGCGACCCACTGGGAGCCCTCTCGGAGGACGGGGTGGTCGGGGTGGAGGGAGGACACTTGGGAGTGGGGCCCGAGGCTCAGGAGGACGAGGTCAAACCGGGGGCAGTCGCAGGACGGAGAAGCCGGGACCGTCCGGTCCTTGACCCGCTGGCGGATGGAGAACTCGTAGCCATCGGCCGCCGCCTCGCCGGGTGTCTCGTGGCCCGCCGGGACGACGTGGGCCGGCTGTATCGGAACCTGATTCCAAAGAACGCGACAAAAAGTGAGCAATGATGACAATGTCGTTGGTCGGTTGGTCCAAATTTAATGGAACGAGGCAGGGGGCGAAGTGGGAAAAGGGGCGACCTTTACTGTCCTCGGAATCGCACGATGATGCATCAGCATTGTCACTAAGGAAACCGATGAGCAAGAATGCCTCTTGCTTGCTTACTCACACAATAAAAAGATACAAGGCAAAAAAGAACAGATGCTTTTATCATCGCTCGATCGACCAAAAGGATTTTGTTAACGAAAAGCCTTCGGATCGCTACTGAACAGCTAGCTAATCACGAGCAATGCTAGAGATACGAACATCGTGATCGTTTTACATGGAGAATTAAGGCGGCCGTTTGCGAGAGACTCGCTAAAAAAGTCAAACTTCTAAACTGGTGGTAATTCAAGAGATGTTGGAAAAGGGAAATTTCCATAGAGAATAAGGACAAAAAGGGGGGAATCTAGAAGCGAAAACATAAGACAATTCCACACGCCAAATTCATGTCCACGTTCAGATGAGTTCAGACCATCGTCATCGCCAGGTCATTTCCCTTTCCCCTTCCCCGTTCACATTCCACATGGATAGAGAGATTCAGTCAAAGACTCCAATCCATCCAGCTAACCTACCCCGCCGCTAAACCGACATCTTAGACCGGCGAAAAGATTGTACGAACACGATGCCTCCCGCAAAACAGCATCAAATGCACGTGACTACAGAGAGAGAGAGAGAGAGAGAGAGAGAGGGAGGGAGGACCTTGGAGATGAAGTGGTGCTTGGACTGCATGTAGAAGCTATCCGGGTGTCTCTTGGGGACGACGATCTCTTCAGCCCAGAACAGGTGCCATTTCGACCACTCCACCGTCCTCAAGTACGGCAGGCTCGCCAGCTTCCTGCATTCAATTCCTCTCATCACACACGGCAGCATTCGACCAAGACATTCAACCACGACCAACACACAGACAAATACGAACAGGTTGAAGAAGAGGAAGAAAGCGAGAGAGCATATGGGGTACCATTACCCTAAGCGCTCGGGAATGTCTCCTCCAGAAAGAGCGAGGGAGAAGGAAGATCTCTCCCTGAGGGCGGATTCGGAGACGCGGTGCACGTAGTCGGCCAACCCCGTGGACAGCTCCTCGCTGCTCTCGAAGAACCTCACCTCCGCCTCCGCCTCCGCGTCTGATCTCTTCTTCTCCATCTTGTATTGATCTTTCTCTATCGATGATTGCTTCCACCTCTCTCTCTCTCTCTCTCTCTCTCTCTCTGTGTAACTATTGCTAATTTATCCAGCTGCCCAAGAGCGTTTCTTCACACTTTTGTCTTCACATGTAGAGAAGAGAGAGAGAGAGAGAGAGAGAGCGAGAGCTTTGAGAAATTAGGCGAAAAAGGACAAAGTGAGTGAGAATAAGAGATTTGACCAAGAAAGAGTGAGAATAAGAGAGAGAGCAAGATATGTGTGTGTTTATGCAAGAAGTGCGAGTAGTGCTTGCCTACTTGTTAATCTAAATTTCTAAAATCCTAGAAATAGAGAAAAATAAATTGATTAATAATTTTGGAAATTTATCCCAGCCCGTGTCGGCATAATCAGAATGCTTACGATGACCGTCGTCATCCCGGCCGCTTCTGTTGGGTCATTGAGTTTATGTGGCATTGGCAGCGCAATTTTAAATCTCATGATAATCATGCTCCCGAACTGTTGAGTCAACTACCTCGAATTAACTAATTATTACCGAACTTCGCAAGGAAATAGGAAAGGTATACATATATATATGTACGGTCAATACGGTGTATTTAGGGTAAAATAATGTATCGTATTTATATCAACGAGAGATATTTTGTCATTAAGCATGAGACTCACAATGCAATAAGAGAGGTGGGAAGACGAGGATGTCCAAAGAAGCTCTCGAGACATTCCTTGTGGCACAATACCATCACCAAGTGGCTCATAACGAGTCCGTAGGGCGCCATAATTAGGATCCATACGTAACAAAAGGTGTTGTTATTTTCATATACAATAAATGCTTACAACATTTATCATCGTTACTAGGGATGTCAAGACCAAACACTATACTCAAATCGAAACACGAAACGAATCGAAACACATTACTTTACCAAAACTGATTTGAAACCCTAAGTATTAATTCGCAATACGCTCTCTCTTTCACGGAACGATTCGTCTCCTTCCACATTTAATACTTTTTTTCTTTATGGGTCTTTATCGCCTGTCTTTGCTATGGAAAATTTCTATTCGCTGATTTAGCAAGAGATTTGGTACGCTTGGATTTCACCCGTTTCATTGAATCTAGCAAGTCTCCAACACGGTTAATAGTTCCATAGCTAGATTACAAAGCGCGGTTTGAATTTTGACCCATTTATCGAGAATGCTCTTGTGGAAACATATGCTGAATGCGAAAGTTGCAAGATGCATCTTGTACTAATGTCTTGATTCACTGGATGCAAATTAATCCTTGTCATTGAAGTTGCAAGATGCGTCCAAACATCTAGAAGGAGACTTGAGTCATGACGAATTGATGTGATTCTATGACTTCTAATGTTTTGTTTGAAACCCGACCCGATCGTGTGGCTATATTGTGTTCGGGTCTTGTCTCGAGTCGGGCCAATCACACATGTTCAATATTTTGGGTCGGATCGGGTATTATGAAAACCTGATCCGACCCGATCAATTGACACCTCTAATTACATGTATAATCGAAATTTTAAAATCCCAATATTCAGTTATAAGTTATTCTGACGAATACACCGAATGCTCGTTAACAAAATCTCTTCAAAAATATGTTCTATCTTTAGTATGCCGGAAGTAAGAATAGAATTATCAAGGCATGATGAATAATACCTTCTACCAAATTGCCATCTTCTGTTTTTGGACATCTTCCTCCTGATAAATGAATGATTTAAGTCCATGTCAACATCGCCAAAAAGCTGCTGCAGCGGGAGCTGCAGAGTCCCCCCAGTCTTCTGAGGCGTTATCCTCTCGATGCAGTGAACCACACACACGCCCTTCGTCGAGGCGTGAGTGACTTCGCGTGTGGACGAACGGAAGATGGGAGCGTGTCGGCGCATCGCGTGGTAAGGGGAACGACCTTCTTCTGCAGCAGTTCCAGTCATCCGGGGCACGCCTCGAATCCCATAAACGACAACGAGTGCATGCACGGTGAAAGCGAAGCTGCTCCTCCTCCAGCAGCGTCTTTGACTCCTCTAGAACTCTCTCTACAGTCTACTGCTATGCTTCTCCACCGTCCTCGTCCTTTTCCCCCCCAATTAAGAACCGGCCCATCAATCATTTCCTACCCCCACCTCAGTTGTCCATTCGTATTGTCCTTCTTATCTCCATCCATCTTTCCACGTTTCACAGCTGGGTGGATCCTGTCAAGAACTCCTTATCTTCCTGGCCTCTTTTAGCTCAGTGCAAGTGTAACCACTCCTTGAGTTGGAATTAACCCTTTCTCTGCTGTTCATTATCGAATCGGATCTTCGAGCTTTGGATTTTTGTGAAAAGTGATCCTCTGAATTATCAAAAGAACAACCTACCAGTGTCCTTTTTATTAGGACTTTCAATGCTCATGGGGTTAGCTGATATGGACATCAGACATTTGCCGTTAGTTTTAGAATCGGCGTCCACATGGCAACCACGTAGACTTCAGGTCACGGATCTATCTATCGCCGACACTATCTCCCCCCCGTTAGACATTGCCTCCACCCTCAAAAAGATTGATCACCACCAGCGCAGCGCCGCCGCCGCTACTATCCTCACCATCCCAAGAACCAATGTTTCGAATTGCGGAATTTAATATTTGCTAGAATTTACTTTCTTTTTTTAAATAATTAAGTGATGTTCGAGTCAGCTTTCGCGTATCTCTATTAGTCCATCTTTCTGAGCGATTTTAAAGGCGCACTCTCCCACATCAACTTGGTGTATTCAAGATTTTACTTTTAAAGTGCTCACAACAAGACTTGAACCTAAGACGGGAACAAAAGAAGCAAATTCTTTTACCGTCTAAGCCAACCCATTAATGGCTTGTGCAAGTAAAAAAAAAAAGCCAACCCGTTAATGGTGAATTACTTCCTGCTTTTGGCTAAAGAAAGGAAAGTCGTTTGTCATCGTCTTGCCATTTAGGACGGAGCCGTACTTCTTGCTTTTTTCTTAGCAGGATGGACCAGAGTCTTTTGTGAAAAGATGTATATCATCTCAAAGTACATATGGTCCTCTGTTTATAAAAAAAATAAGTCCATGGGGCTATACCCAATCAATGAGTCTACCAGAGAAACCATTCAACAAGCTCTAGAAGAATACAAAATGAGTCTACCAGAACCTATGGATTTCTCTCTAGACCCTTCGTATTCATTCTTTGTTAAATTGACGAGATGAATTTGATTCAGTACTCGAACATAGACGGGTCGATGAATCGATCGAAACTTTGAAGCATGTCATTTGATTCGGTACTTGAAAGCAGTCGGGTCGATGAATTGATCGAAATTTTGTGCCGGAGGAAGCATAGATCTTAGCGTACGCTTTCTACATGGTGTAATCTCACGAGACTCGTTCTCGAAGTAATTCCTCGCGGATCTCTACAGCGTCTCTATCCGCTTCTTTTTGGACACGAAATGTTCATGTGAGCTTAGGGGAATAGTACCAAGCGTGTTAACTGCAAAACCCATTATTCATTATCATTGCCATCAAGGATGTTATTATCATCACCTATTCACCACATACGACATTTCACCTTAAGCTATATTCCCTCATAGCTGATAATATTCGCGAACGTGAGGTCCCTCGAACGTCTAAGGTCTAGGACATACCCTAAAGAGCTCGCATGGCTATTGCTTCTTCTATGGGTCTTTCGGAGCTCATTCCCGTGTCTAAAGAAGACACTGGGCTATCAATCTCAAGTCCTCAACATCGATAGCAATGTCCACATCCGCAATCGTCGTCACGGTCCCGAGGAAGCCTGCGAGCTCCCCGAGATCCATGTCCTTGGTGTTCATCTCCAGGAACTCGGCCACGCTCAGCAGCCCGTCCCTATTGGAGTCTGCCTCCCGCATCATAGCGTCGACCTCTTGCTCCGAGATGTTGTAGCCCAGCGACCTCAAGATCCCGCCGAGCTCGGCGCCGGTGATTTGCCCATCGTCGTCGCTGTCGAATGCTCTGAACGCCTCAACAAGCGTGAGGACTTGGCTTAGAGTCTCGTTTTCCAAAGGGAGAGATGATCCGGAGTGAGCCATTGTATTTTAGAGGCACAAAAATTATACTTGCAGAGTCCGGAGTCACGTCCACATCTATATATACTGAAGGCAGGACGGTGGTTTGGTTTGGTTCATTCCTTTGTGCTGTCATAAAGCAAGAAGAAGATGAAGCTAAGATTCTGGATTCTAGTTTATCCCTATACTCATCAACAGCAAAAGCATATATCCAAGTCCTGTGAAACTAGTAGCTACGCTTGGTTCTTCTGTCCTTTTCTTGACGAATCTGAATCTAAGGTAGCTACTTGAACGAATCGAATCTAAACGTCTTTGCACTTGGCCAGCTTTTATACGTGATGCTTTTGAACTCTGGTCCTGCCTCAAGATTCTACAGCTCCATTGGAGGACAATCATGAGGGGGCATATGTGCTTGATTGAGCTTCCTCTAGTTTTCTTCGGAATCTCCGATTTGTTACTCCAAATTTAAGGCTGCGGTGTCTCTGTAGTGACTCCCTCTTCATCAATTCTATGTCATCTGAGAACATTGAGGTTGCACACAATTTCCTCTTCAAAATCTCATATGTCTTACTGACAAAATAAGATGAATGAATTGCGACTTGAGAATTTCGGTGTCATGATCGCGAAACATTAAAGACAACCGATAGACAAAAGATGATTTCCTAAAATAGTTGAATTCTTCGACTAGGAAAAGATGCAGCAAAGTAAATGCAAAGACTATGCATTTTGTAGTCCCACTCGAAGTCAGTCTCACTTGATACGTGCCTCCTCTGCTTCTCTTAAACACCACCAATTGATCCTTGAGATCACACTTCATATTCCCGAATTTGGCTGCACAACGAACTGGATTATCATTGGCGGCAGGCCACAAGCCAACGCGAGGGCGTCGTCTGATTCTCCGGGGATGCGATCCCTGAGGACGCTCTTGGTGATGAACCCCAAACTGTATTGCCACCCTCCTCTGACCACCTCACGCACCACATACTACACCTTCAATCTCTCATGCCTCTTGGCCCAAGCATCAAGCTCATCCCTCAGCAAAATGTCGTCCCCGGTCTGGTTGGCGTACACCACGTACATCTTGATTTCGTCTCCAGGATCCTTCCGGATCGCCCGCATCATTTGATAGATCAGGGTGATCCCATTGCCTCCGGCTAACATCGCCAATCTCTTGGCAAATTCGAAATAAGAAGAAATAAGAAGAGAAAATGACTTAATCAAAGATAAGAGAATTTTTATGAAATAAGAACGACACCCAAAAACCAAGGTGACTCCCTGCTTCTCCTAAAGGCCATTGTCTCCTCTCTTTCCCCATTCGCCACCCCCAAGTCGTGAACTTTGTGACCCTCTCTCTCTCTCTCTCTCTCTCTCTCTCTCTCTCTCTCTCTCTCAATAGAAATCCAGATTGCGGAAGAATTAAGCTTGTGTCGTGCCTGAAGCGAGCTGCAAAACGTTTCCTCTGGAGATCCACCAACCCATATCCTCCCGCTCAAAACTCCAGGACAGAGAGGTATCTTTCCCAAAGCAACAACATAAGTCCACAGATTGAGGGAGCAACTTAGCCATCTCTTCTTGCAGTCAAAGTACAAGACTACGTGATGACGCGTGGCTGGCTCCAAAACGTCATGGATTTATAGATAAATAACTCATTCCAAACGATGTCAATCCCACCCAAATAGCAGAGAAGCTACTAGCCTCTCTCTTTCCAGTTCTTGCTGGGGAACCTTACTTGGACAAAAGCCAGATTTCAATTTGGCCCTCATGAAGTTTTTTGGACCTGTGGCTTCTAGTTCTGAGGATCACTAGATTTGCCCATATGAGTAGCATTCATTCATGTCATGATCCTGTCCGGTCGAGAGTACATAGGAGAACGAGACCGTCCGTGTTTTGTGTGTATACTGACATTACTCTTCTAGTTAGGTATTACTAAAATTTAGTCACAAACTTGATTTATAAATTGAGATGGTTGATTCCAATCGGCGAATGTACATTTTGCTCCATATAGCTTAACACAATCAATCGTCTCAAGCTCATTAATGTGGAAGCTTGCACGACATCGGGGTTTCTCTCTATCCTTTTTTCGGTTTGTGTATCGTGACCGGTGAGACCACTTCGTACATTTTCACAGACATCACTAGCTTTTTCTCGTAATCCCGTGTGTTAGACTAATCATAGAAAGCTAGTTATTCGATCTTTGTATAGTTTTAAGAGCATGCAATAGCTAGCATGCCAGATATAGGCAAATCGCAAAGACAAAAATCATTACACTTTCTATACGCCCATCAATTTTACCTTAACTAACTGATCTGATCGGCCAATGCCACCAATAGACCAACTGTACGACATAGAGAAAGCCTAATAACCTGTACTAAGAACACAACATGAGTTGGCAGACTTCGAGAACCGACCAGATCAATGTGGAACTAGTGTGCCAAAAACAAGCTTGGTATAGAGATGAGCAATCTCTCTGAGCTTTTGTTAGCACAAATTCTTCTCACACCTGCCGTTGCAATAGAACTTGAATGAAACCTGGTTCAAACAAGTAGGAAAACTATGAAGAAAGTACTTCAGAGCACATGACCGATGGCCATCCATCCAGGTTTCTTTGTTTTTTGCCTTGTCAGCTATCCTATTAAGGTGACCGTGAACGGATCTTAGAGGAAACCCTGCAGTTCCAGTTGAGAGCCAGATCACTGGTTCACTACCCCAAAGAGAAACAAGTTCACAAGCTCTTTCCGTGGATAATGCAATAATCAGCTTCGGCAATGCGATTCGATCACTCCCTTTTGCAGAGAATGAGAAGTAAGAAGCCATATGTGTGAACCAGCCCAACCAAAGAACAAGAAAAGAAAAACTAAAGTTTTAATCCAAGCATGACTACTAGCACTTGTTCCATTCAGGCAAGTACGGACTATGACTAAGCACTTTGCGCTACAATGTGCAATGTAAGCAACAAAACTTCGACAATAAACAGATTATAAACAGCCACTCATCTAAGTACAACTGTGTTGAAACCCGTCAGATCATGGCGGTTTTACATGTAAAAGGTACCGTACCATACCACGCTAGAAGGAACGTATCAACTATAAGAAAATGCCACAAAGTTATCTTGGCATAATAAATTGCCAGCATTGACCCATCTTTCTCGGTATACAGAACGAGTTCGCATTCAAGAGTTAGTCTCACAAGTCAATCATATGAACAGCATTGCTGATCATATGTTTTCCCTGCCCAATGTCTCTTCTGATTGACTTAGATACTATAACAAAGATCCTCGCAAGTACGATGTCAATATCTACCTCCAAAACAAACTTGGAGCTGTAAATTATCCAAGTCCATAGACCAAAAAAAATAGACTAATACGAAAGAACCTCTGTGTCCAAGGACCACCTATAATAAATGACCATATAGCATAAATGACCAGAATAGTTGTAGTCATCTAGCAGATCTAGGTTCCAAGGAGAAATAATTACAGCTTCAAATCACGTATTAACAATAGAATATCTCTTAGGAAGGGGAAAACACAAACCTTTTAAATAAATCTGTTAGTTGGCCACGGACTATGCAAATGAACAAGCACCACACACTATCTGTACTGATAAAAAATGGTTTTCTCCTTCAGATAAAAAAAAATTGGTTTCTTGGCTGTCCCACCTATCCAATGATATGAACAATACCAAAATGAATAAGACCCTATCCGATGGCGCAAAAAAGCATTGGCAGCAAGGAAGTAACTAGAGAAAAGCTTAGATCATGCCACTTCTCACCACTCTACTCTAATATACTTCACCTACTTCAGTTAAAACATTCTATTCCTTCGCTGCCTTCTTGATCGACTTGTCAATACTACCCCCCGGGAAATACGACCGGACCGAAAGGAAGAAATACCGTTCCCTCTCGATGAGTCATAATCATTCCCATACATTCTATGAGCTTGCGAGATATAATTTCTTCCAAAAGACTCCAAAGGAAACATATCACGATCTGAATATTCTTCTGAGTCATAATCAGAGAAAGAGTCCTGATGGTTTGGCTCCAGCACATAATCCCCAAGCATTATTGCACCTGGTGTTGATGACATAATTGTACTAATCACATCGTTCCTCTCTCTTTGCTGCTCAAGCATCTTCCACTTCTCCTTAAGTAAAGGGTCCACAGCCCGTGGTCGTGCTGATGGATGCTCCTTCTTGACATGCTTACATAGTTGCTTATAGCTGCCAAGAAACGTGCACTTATCATGCATGCAGGTCCTTTTCTTTGTGTTGAAATACATGCGTGCCTGTTCCACCACTGTCCAGCCTTTCACCTGTCCCCGGCAAAGTGGGCACAAAAGCTCAGAGATTTCTATCTTTTCATTGGTCGGCTCACAACTGAAACTAGCACATGGGGTCGATCCATTCCCCTCATGTGTGCTTGGTACTTCTGTCACTTTTGTGTAAGCCTTCTTGTATTGCTCAAGACAATTCGAATAGCGACGCCCAGTTGCACACATGTATGGTCGACAACCTTTGTCATAGGAAGAACATAGCAGTAGTACAGCATTGTGAGGGTACTCCATACACACTGAGCAGGTAGCTTGGTCCCACGCCTTCTTTTCAAATGCATTGCAATGCTGCTTCTTCTTCTTCTTAGATTGTCTAACTTGGGATGCCTTTAATGTGCCAGATCCCAATATGCACAACGAATCCTGGGTAGCCGGGAACTGGGTTCCCTCCACAGTGTTCTTGATTTTTGCCATTTTGAACCTGGACGAAAAGGCTAAGCGAGCACATGATTTAGAAATTGCTAGATACAATCTCCCATGGCATAAGTTTCACTTATTGCGCAACAATCAATTGACAGCTTTCTAAAGTAAAAATGGAGCAATTTTTATGGTATTAAAATTGTATCAAAAGCGAAAAGAGAATCCACTCCTACTAGACTATAAGCAGTAGCAGAAACGCGCCCTTAGGGAAGAAAAGATCAACTCGATGGGTATCTTAACAAGTAGCCTTTTTCAAGGAGGTTCCTTAAGGTCCTGTTTCACGTAAGAGAATGATACACGACAAGGACGTGAAACCTCATGATCACGAATAACCTATAGACCAACCCCACCGAAAGAGACCAAATAACGAAATTCGTACACGAGAACAAGGCTCAACAGTCAAGGAACTTCTACTATCAGGGGCAATTAAGGGGGTAACCAGGAGTAATTTCGTTGAAACCACTAGGGAACCCTAAAACCAAGAATAGAAAAGATCAGGATTCTAGTTAAGATCCTCTAACGCCTTGGAAGACGGGGAAAGAGCGACAAAGGATCACAGGACGTAAAGTACGGATATGCCCAATCACGTAATTCACTATTTTCAATGACACTACCCAAATATTAACCTTAAGAAGCAATCAAGATGGCTCATTGTCCCCGGTCCTCCTCTCAAACATCATAAAAGTTTAGCCTTTTACATATCTAAAACAAGAAGACATGCACTCGAGCTTAAAAACACAGAGAGATCAACCAGAGATGCCAGCACACATCGTCAGAATTCTCGCGTAACTGATCAAAGCAATCCGATCGCGCCAAAAAATCTTAACACCTCAGCCCAGCCCAAAAAAAAATGCGCATCCCGATCGCGTTCCGCACTCGGTACTCAGCAGAGACGAAGCTCTAAAAAAACAGGAAACCGAGGATCGCCCTTCACAAAAAAAATCAAAACTTCGCGCGGGAAATCACTGGGAGAAAAGAGACGAAGACGCCAAAACCAACCGCGAAGAGATTGGATCCGAAAGAAAAGAAACGGGTTACTCCGACAAAGCAAGAAAGCGGGCGGAACGAGGCCCTCGACGACGAAAAGCGAAGTGCCGACGCTCACGATCAGCATCGACCTCAATCGAAAGGCCGAACTCGAGCTTCAACATGAATCGAGCAATTAGTAAACGAGAAAGAGGAACTCACCGGGGAGGAAGCCGGCGAATTCGATCGAGACGGCGGCGGAGGAGGCGGGGGGGGGAGAGGCCGAACCAAGCGCACCGATTCGGAGGGCCTCCCGGGAATTCGAAATCCCTCCACCCGAAAATGGAGCCGAGCGATTCTGGATTTCTTGTGCCCTAGCAGCTAGCTCTGCAAATTTTTTGAAGCAGGAAGGAGGAGGAGAAGGAGGAAGACGAAGAGCTCCTTGGTTTCTTCGCCCGGTGGGGATATGTTGGGCCTTGTGGAGTTATTGGGCTTGGGCCTGATTTCGGGCGATTCGACCCATTTACATACTCGAATAGAATTTACATAATGCCTTAATTAATCAATATTAAACTTGCTAATAAGATATATCATTAGAGTGGAAATTTATCCGATTAATGGTATAAGCTATACTTGAGAGTTGTGACTATAAGTGAATGTTTCTGGTGATGACATGTATTTTTTCTTTTCTTTTTAATTTCGTGAGTTTAATTTTTGTAACCGATATGATTATAATTTATTATAATTCATGATAATCGATTCATGTAGTATATTGAGCTGTACTACGTCATTTTCCATGGTGTACGTAGAATAAATGAATTTTTAAATTAAGCGAGATTCATTGGTGTAATGGAGTAGGTTGTGCTCCAAACTGCAAATTTTATATTTATTAACGAGGCATTTTACTATTCTTTAAGTGATGTTCATTTTATAATAACCCAAGTTACATATTCAAATGACTAAGATATATCTATAAGTGGGGCATGTGCCTTCATGTCTTTGCTTGGGCATGTGCCTTCATGTCAATTTTTCTTAACACTCTCGATGTTCACGCCACCGCTGTTGTTCAAATTAATAATCGCTGCTACCTACCGGGAACTTCATTATGCCTGAATATATACACCACATGCACGACATCCGGTCCTCGCTGGCGAAGAATTAAGTCGCAGCCGAGCTCGAGCAACGCCTCACCGTGCAAGTCTCTCTCTGTCTCTCTCTCTCTCTCTCTCTCTCGGTGATGATGATGATGATCAAGTGTTGATGATGATAATAATGATGATGATGATAAAGTGTTGATAATGATAATGATCAAGTGTGGATGATGATGATGATGATCAAGTGTTGATGATGATGATTATGATGATCTAGTGTTTGAAGTTTTCTGGTTTGCTCTCAAAGATGATGCAGGGAAGTTTGTATGCAGATTTTTTTTTGTTCAATTTCTCTTTTTGGTCGGAATTTTTTTTATTCAATTGAAGTTTTTACATTGAACACATGTAATAGAATTAAAGAAATTTGGTCAGTTTCCTCTTATACCCTCACAAACTTAATAGAAGCCCAATTTTGCATGATGATAATGATGATGATAATGATAATTACGACGACGATGATGATGATGATAATGATCAAGTATTTGAAGTTTTTAGGTTTACTTTCAAAGATGATGCAAGGAAGTTTGTATGCAGATTGTTTTTATTGTTAGAATTTTTTATTTTTGATCAATTAAAGTTTTTACATTGAACACATTCAAGAGAATCAAAGAAATTTAGTCAATTTCCTCTTATGCCCTCAAAAACTTAATAAAAGCCCAATTTTGCCCATTTTAAAAAACAAACCTTACTGCTCGCTCGTCTACTCTACTCGACTGCCAAATCTCTCGACTATTCTCGCTGCCTCGCGACTGCTCCTTTGCAGGTTCAATCTCTCTCTCTTCGTGAATGACTCTAGTCCCATTTCCGTCAATGTAATATGTGTTTCGTGTGTTGGCTGGCATGTTTCTGCGTCTTGTCTGAGACCAAGAGAGCTGTGAGATTTTTAGTTCTTTGGTTTTTCATTGTTGTTTATGTCTGATTTTTGTTTAAGTCGACAATAGTCGTCTGGATTTACGACTCGGTCGACCTTTTAAAGCAAATGCCCTAATCTAACATCCCAATTTGTGTCTTCATGGTTGGAAGGAAATGGTGATGCTCTTACATTGGTAATTTCCTGGTCAGGGTTAAGAGAGCGCTTTGTTAGTTGTGTATTCCCTTTGTGACATCCCGAACTTTGGTATGGCCAAAACAATGAGGGACCCTAATGGATTAGGGCGCTCGTCAACGGAAATTAGGAAAAATGAAATTAGAAGTTTGGGTGTCGCACTAATGTTGCCTTCGTTGTTTTTTTTTCTTTTGAATAGCAAATTTAATTCTCAGGTCCATTTACACTGGATCGTTTATTTTCGACGTCACGTCATTCGCGTGAACCGACTCCTTGCCGAACCCAACACTTTCATTTTTCCTTCCCTCCTATTTTCTCTCTTACTCACCGCCGGATAACTCCACCACCATCACCAACCCTTCATCTCTCTTTATCCCTTTATTTCTTTTTTTTTTGTTTTTCCCTTTACCACTTATTGAAGAAGTGGTGCTAGGTGGCGCCCATGCATGCCCATGCATGCAGGGAAGGTGAACAGCCACCGGATTATCATTTCCCCCAGCTCGCTCTCTCTCGCTCTCCGACCAGTTCACTCTCTCACCCGCTCTCTCTCTCTCTCTCTCTCGTTCGTCTCTTCGGCGGAGCGCCGCCTGCTGCTCGAGTCCACGGCTGACCATCCACCGCTCGACGCCGTCCAATCAGTAGCTATCCATTCCGTCGTCCCGTTTCACCGGTGCCACCAGCAGTAACCACACGAGCTCGAAAAACCACCGCCGTCATGCCCTCTTCTCTCCGCCTAAGCCGCACGCCATGACCGTCGCACTCGTCGTTGAAGTAAGTGTGCTCCCTCACTCTATACTAACCATGATAATGTTTGCATGTTGATTTCGGGTATTGGATAGGGCATTGAGTTGGCTGGTTAGGGGTGGGAGAGAATGGTTTGGTCTCATAGTTGCTGTTTATAATGGTTTGAACCCCTAGGAATGAGTTTTGTGAGTATAGAACACTAGATTAAGTTGGAAACGGATGTTTCGTGTTGAATTGAACTCTTGGTTTGGTATTTTCTTGGCTAAAAAGTAGTGGACCTCAAGTTGAAAGTGTTTCCTGGAGTTTTGTCTCCATTCCAGAACTGATTTTACTGGACACTCCTGGCTTTCCATATTTAGAGGACATTTTGTGGTCTGAATCTTGCGAAATGTTCCTCATTAAAGTTGTTTAGAAGATCTTAGACTATAACATACTTAAATTTCAGATTTTTCTGAGTTCAAATGGGTTACACGAAGGTCCAACTTCTTACCGAATCAAAGCTGTTTTATACCATGGAACCCGTGACCTCTGTGCCTTCTCGAATTTTTATAAAAAATTTCACTTCGAATTTGGTCACACGTCCTTCACAAAATTTGTTAAGGAAACCCTTGTCTATAACATATAAAAATTTCAAAGTGTTTTAAAGGAGTTTGGTTTGTGAAACGAGCCTTCTTTATGACTCGGCTTTCCTGTTTCAGCGGATCAGTTTTGGTCTATTTTCGAGCCATTAAAAGTGGCCTTTACTTAAAGATTTTGGGATTGTGTTCTCATGAAAAATATTTCTTAGGGTCCTTTCTACGACATATTCAAATTTCATAGTTTTTCGAGGTCATTTACTATATTATTGGTCTTGGTTTCTCAAAATGCTCAAAACTGCCGTATTTTACTCATTGTCAGAAAATCTCGAATTTCTATTGGAAGATGATGGCTTTTGATTTCTGGTCTACTGGAGACAGTAACCACACTATCTAGCTTTTCAATTATGCCTATTTGGCCTTGATCTGATGTTAAATGCTTATGTAAATTGGGTAATATTTGAGAGCACAGAATCTGAAAATTTTGATTGTGAAAGATGTGTCGAATAAAATGAAAAGAATGTTTGTGCATGTGATTGTGAGACTAAGAAATGATTGATGCCGTCGGTCTGCGGAAGACGATGCCCCAAGGAGCCTGTCGGCAAAGTGGGATGCCATGGACAGGTGCTTCATGTTGCCTAGGAAGAGTCATGCCCTAGATGCCCTAGGAATATGAATGGGATGTCGTGGTCAGTGGACCGACGAAGCCCGCGCGAGCTGTTGAGTAATCCGGCGTACACTGCAGTAGATCGGTCTAGGCACACCAGACCCTATTAGTCGGGATGTTCTTCTATGCGTGGCCAGGGAGCACACCTAACACATGTTCTTGGAGTGGTGATTAAAGTTTGATGAATGTCACACAATGTGTACTCATGTGATGGCTATTCATTGATTGATAATCTTTTTGCCTAGTGATTACTGCCCGAATGAAAAATGGAGTTTATGTATGCTATGGCTGGTTGTGGATTAGTTTAGTTGCCTATCTAATTGACCTTGTTAAGGTGCATGATATTATCTTATTAGTATGGCATGATAGAGCTTACTTTGCTAAGTTTTCGCTCACTGTTTGTTGTTGACACATTTTTATAGATCCTTAGCTATGCCAATACTCCCCACTTCGTCCTCTATTAGCTACGAAGTGCCCATTGATTTTGAGGGCCACATGTATGAATTTGTGGATCCACATTTCCCTTAGCTTGTTTTTGTGAAATGCATCTCTATCTTGATTGTAGACATTGGGACCCATCTTTTGGGATTTGCCGCCATCTACGTTTGTGCTGGTGGACAGTTGGTGGGGCCACTCCCATACCAGGGCCAGATGGAGCTAATAATAATGCTAGTAGCGGGGTTGAGTGAGGACAATATCGAGGAGGAGGAGGAAGGAGCAAATTTTTGAAAAATACACAACTGTCATTTTTTTTATAGATAAAGTCGTATAGTGTTGGGTGATAACTTTGTTTGTTTTTGGTTAGGGCTAGTGGGTCACAGTGTTTAGCCGGGTTGGAGTAGTTATGTAGTCCCCCCGTTTTTTGAACTCACCTTTGTATTATCTATATTATTATATGAGATTGATGATATTTTCATAGCTTGCATGTCCTTACATTTATATATGTCTATATTTCTATGTCACATTCATGTTATAAATGCTGACCTTTAGAAAGAAGCATCTTCGGCCTGCGAATAATCTAATAACTATTGAGAATTAGAGGATTTATCTTGAAAAGGGGTAGGCCTAGGACGCTACAGCCCCCGAGATGGTATCAGAGCCTAAGTTATTTTGAAGTGATAAGGTGCACTAGTGATTGAAGAGTTAGGACACGCATAATGTAAAATATCTTATGCATGTGCTTATTAGTTCTGTGTTAGGGAGATATAAGTAACCTTGGTTATTCATGTGATGTCAATAACGTCTGTTAGTTACTAAATATTGTGATGGTTGATCATTTGAAATAATTGGTGAACAATGTGTAGAAAACTTGTGAGACAAAATGAGGAAGAATGGTGGACCCTCTTCTAATTCTGCACATAGAAGAGATCCTCGAGTGGATGGAATTCTCGAGGCTTTGGCTAATTCGGGGCGTTGTTTGAACAACAAGTCCAACAACAATCATCTTCAACACTTGATCATTATCATCATCATCTTCAACACTTGATCATTATCATCATCATCATCGACACTTGATCATTATCATCATCATCATCGACACTTGATCATCATCATCATCATCATCAACACTTTATCATCACCATCATCATTATCATCATCAACACTTGATCATCATCATCATCATCACCGAGAGAGAGAGAGAGAGAGAGAGAGAGAGAGAGAGAGAGAGAGAGAGAGACCTGAACGATGAGGTGTCGCTCGAGCTCAGCCGTGACTTGATGCTCTGCCGGCGAGAACTGGATGTCGTGCTTGACCCACGATTGATTTCAGATGGCGAGTGGGGCTTAAGCCGGCGACTCACTCCTCTCAGATGACAACGTATAATGAGGAGGGTTTAATGTTCGTTCTTTCTGATTGGAGGTGCTTGTTCAGTTTTGCTCGAACTTGGCTGCGACTTGATTCTCCGCCAGCGAGAACCGGATGTCGTGTTTGACCCACGATTGATTTTGGACGGCGAGTGAAGCTCAAGCCGGCGACTCGCTCCTCTCAAATGACAACATACAATAAGGATTTAGTGTTCGTTCTTTTTTATTGGAGGTGCTTGTTCATTTTTGCTTATAATAGTTTGGAAAAATATAAAAATAAATAAATAATATTGTAATTTATTACCAATGAAATGGTGAGTTGTCCTAAAAAAGTTCAATATTTTTTTTTTCAATTAAACGAAATAAGTAATCCGTTTCTTACTCGATATAGCAAGTGAATACTTTAATTTAATATTTTCATTTAAAGTAAACTAGAATTATTAGATACGATTAATCTCATTAAGTGTCGAGTTTTTAAATTCCTGCATTTGATTGGATTATCAAACTAGGCCCTAGGGTTCGCACTACATAAACAACGAGAAAAGAAAATAAAGAGCAAAAAATTTAGCCGAACATTTAAATCAATTCATAATGTCACAAAATAAGATCTTGCTAACGAGTGCCTCGAGATACTTATAAAATATAATTAATTTGAAATTATTCAAATTTTTATGGCACTAATCTTGCCTAGTTCGAGGACGGTGAATGCACTATGAACTATAAATTTTCCTTAATTGATTACTTAGTAGTATTCATGGGGCATTAATCAATAAAATCCTCTAAAATACTAGAACTTGCTTTTTTTTTAATCAAGAGTGCATCTCACCGACTTACCGAAAGTTTTTACTACTTTCGGCTGTCGCAACTTTGTTTAGTTTTTTCTTCCAAATAACAAAAGATTATAATTGATAATTTAGGTTCAATCTAGACTTGTGATATGCATGTGAAGATACTCTGGATTAAAAACAAACTAAATTGCAAGAACTCATTTTCTCCATATATTTTCATTCGGTGCATAAAAATAACTAAGCAAATGAAGAATGCCTTTATTTTAACAATTAAAAAAAACGGATAAGGACAAAGCTCACGAACTCTATGATCTGTAATACAATTTCTGCCTTTTTTTATTTATAATTTAAAAGGTTGAGTTTAAAGATAGATAAAGAAATATACCTTCAACTATATTCTCAAGCGACATAACTTATTTTAAAAGTATTACACTAGAAAAATTAAGAAATCCATTTAATTTAAAATACATGCCCCACTTATAGATATATCTTTGTCATTTGAATCTGTAACTGGGGTCATTATAGAATGAACATCACTTAAAGAATAGTAAAATGCCTCGTTAATAAATATACAATTTGCAGTTTGGAGCACAACCTACTCCATTACACAAATGAATCTCGCTTAATTTAAAAATTCATTTATTCTACATACACCATGGAAAATTGCGTAGTACAGCTCAATATACTACACGAATCGATTATCATGAATTATAATAAATTATAATCATATCAGTTACAGAAATTAAACTCACGAAATCAAAAAGAAAAGAAAAAATACATGTCATCACCAGAAACATTCGCTTATAGTCACAACTCTCAAGCATAGCTTATACCATTAACCGGATAAATTTCCGCTCTAATGATATATCTTATTAGCAAGTTTAATATTGATTAATTAAGGCATTATGTAAATTCTATTTGATTATGTAAATGGGTCGAATCGCCCGAAATCAGGCCCAAGCCCAATAACTCCACAAGGCCCAACATATCCCCACCGGGCGAAGAAACCGAAGAGCTCTTCGTCTTCCTCCTCCTTCCTGCATCAAAAAAGTTGCAGAGCTAGCAGCTAGGGCACAAGAAATCCAGAATCGCTCGGCTCGGCTCCGCTCCGCTCAATTTTCGGGTGGAGGGATTTCGAATTCTCGGGAGGCCCCCCGAATCGGAGCGCTTGGTTCGGCCTCTCGCCCCGCCTCCTCCGCCGCCGTCTCGATCGAATTCCCGCCTTCCTCCCGGTGAGTTCCTCTTTCTCGTTTACTAATTTTTACTGTCCCTTGCTCTGTAAAGATTATATCCATCTCTAATTGAACATTGGGTCGCGTTTGATCATCAAACGGGGTGTGCCACCGGACCGGCCCACCCGAAAAACAGGTTCGGGAACCGGTTCTTCTTTTTTTTTGCGAACCGGTTGGAACCGGTCCGGTTCCCGGTTCCGAGTGAAAATCCACCCGGGTACCGGACCGGTTTTAGAACCGGTTTTAAGCTAACGTAAAAAAAAACCTTAGCACCAGTTTAGTGGAGATTCGCGAGCGCCTCCTCTGTCTCTCTTGGTCTCTCTCTTCGAGTTCGCGAGTCGCCTTCTGGCCCTTCTCAGTCGCCGCAGGAACACGTCGCATCTGGTCGCCTCTCGTCGCCGCTCGTCGCCGCGGCCCGCAAGAACACAACTTTTTCCGTTTCAAGAGCTGTGGAGCAGGTAGCGTCAAGGCATTTGCGGTTCCTAGAGCTCCTCTCGAGCTCTCGCTTCCGTCAAGTTCGTTCCCCCGCCTCTTTTTCAGTCCCATCGCAGGTACTTTCGTCGTTTCTGCTGTTTCCCCTTGTTTCTTGGCTGTGTCGGAAGTGGCAAAGATGGCTTCTTTTTGAAAAGTTGGGGGGTAGAAGCATGATGGTCCTTAGAAATCCATTTAATTGGGTTGTTTCTCGTATTGTAGGGCTTCACTGAAGAAGCGTGTTGCTCTGTCCTGAGCTGAGACTTCAAGAAATGTATGTTGTTTGCTTTACCATTTCAATTCGCCGAGGCAAATTTTTCCCATTGCAGAGTCAATAGCATTTATCTTGGGTTGTGGGAATCCTGTCTTTTGCTCAAGCTGTAGATTGTAGTCTCTTGCTTTTCTCGGGTGTTGGAAATTTTGGTTATGATATTGGAATCTGGCAGATCTGTTCTGTTCTAGTGTAAATGTCTCGCCTTTCGAGTCATATATGTGTGTGTTTTTGGAAAAAATGGAACCAGAAAAAGGAAAAAAAAAAAAAGAGTTCTCGGGCAGATCCTGGAACCGGATCGGAAAAACGGGGTAGGTTTCAAAACAGGATCCGGGGAAAACAAGGTAGGTTCCAGGTTTCAAAAACTAGGAATCGGTTATAACAGGGTAAGTTCCAGCTTCCAGGCCCGGACCCTATCCACCCAGGAACCGATCACCCCTATTAATTAATCAATACTAAACTTACTCATAAAATGTATCATTAGAGTGGAAATTTATCCGGTTAATGGTATTATAAGCTATGCTTCAGAGTCAAGACTATAAGTCTATAAGTGAATGTTTTTGGTGATGACGTGTATTGTATTTTTTTTGTTCTTTTTGATTTGGCGAGTTTAATTTCCATAACTGATACGATTATAATTTATTAATTATAATCTTTTGACATTTGGAAAGAAAAAGAAAAACAGCCTGTTCATTGAACAAAGGGCAAGCCATGATTAGAAGACGGTAGGATATGATGGTACCTAAATAACCAAACAAAGTCCTGACGGCCGAAAATTGTAAGAACTTTTAGTAAGTCAGTGAGAGACTCTCTTAATTAAAAAAAAAAAAAAGCAAGCTCTAGCATTTTAGAGAATTTTATTGAGAAATGGCCCATGAATACTAATAAGTAATCAATTAAGGAAAATTTATAGTTTACGGTGCATTGACCGTCCTTGAACTAAGCACAATTAATGCTGTAAAAATTCGAATAATTTCAAATTGATTATATTTAATAAGTATCTCGAGACACTCTTTAACAAGACTTTACTTCATAATATTATGAATTGATTTAAATATTCGGTTAAATTTTTGCTCTTTATTTTCTTTTCTCTCTGTTTATGTGATGCGAACCCTAGGGCCTAGTTTGATAATTCAATCAAATGCGGGAATTTAAAAACTCGACACTTAATGAGATGAAGTGTATCTAATAATTCCAGTTTAATTTAAATGAGAATATTGAATTAAAATATCCACTTGCTCTATCAAGTAAGAAAAGGATTACTTATTTCGTTTAATTATAAAAAAAGTGAACTTTTTGCAGACAAACTCACCATTTCATTGGTAATAATTTGTAATATTATTTTTTTTCCTTTTTTTTCAAACTATTTTAGGCAAAACTGACCCCAAAATCCAATCAGAAAGAACGACGCTAAACCCTGATCATACGTTGTCGCTTGAGAGAGGAGCGAGTCGCTGGGTCTCCCCTCGCCGTCCTAAATCAACCGTGGGTCAAGCACGGCGTCCCTTCCTCGCCGGCGTCGCAGCGCAGCTCAAGCGAAGCCTCACTGTTCAGGTCTCTCTCTCTCTCTCTCTCTCTCTCTCTCGATCTCTCGATGATACTCAAGACGTTTGAAGTTTCTAGTTTGCTGTCAAGAATGATACTGGGAAGTTTGTATGCAGATTTTTTTTTGTTCGACTGAAGTTTTTGCTACCCATCTGTATGCTGTTGAAGTTTTGAGGTGCTTTCACATTTCTGTTTGAGGGCTTAGTGGAAATTGTTTAAAGTTGAAATCTTTTGTGAGTTGCATCGATTTAGGATCTGGGACTTCGTCTTTGCGTCTCCAGTGCTTGCCCAACGCTAGTTTTACCACCCTCTGTCTTACTTTGTCGATGACTGCAACTTACATTGCCTTGCTGATACTGAACCAATCAAGACATGGGCTTACCTTTGGTTGTTAAGACAGTGATTGAAGCAGCTTTTTAAGAATTCTGGTGCTTTTACAAGAGATGGAGTACGTTAGCCCTGAAGGACTCCGCATCGATGGTCGGCGGCCCATGGAAGTAATCTCTCTCTCTCTCTCTCTCTCTCATGGGCCTGTTGTGCGCCAGCATACAAGGGTTCGCGATACACAAATAAATCCATGAACCAGTTTGGGTTTTAATTTTGTTGCTTCCTTTTCCATCTCTTTTGACCTTAGATGAGGAAACTTCAAGCAGAAATTGGGGTTGTCACCAAGGCTGACGGGTATGCCAAACAATAGTTTGGTAGTAATTTTCTTCTTTACTGATTATCTCTCTATATTCAACCAAATCAACATTGGCATTCCATATGGATTGACTGAACTGACTTTGCTACAGATCTGCTGTTTTTGAGATGGGCAACACCAAAGTCATTGCTGCTGTTTATGGTCCGAGAGAGGTAGCCATCAGAAGATAATTTGTTTTTGCACGGCATTTGCCTTGAAGTTTTAAGCATGGCTTTTTTATCTGCTTCAGTCCACACATCAGAGCACTTGTGAAGCCTAAGGCATGAGTCTGTTCATTTGGATAGCGCTGACCAGCTTTAATTTTTTCGTGCACTGACTTGTTTACGGGTGCTGAAGTTAAAGCTGACAAAATATTATGTTGAGAATTATAAACGGAAATTATCTGCTGTAATTAAATGGCTTATATCTCAAGGAAGGAATTCTTGTATGTAAAATGCATGAGTGAGGATGCATGGTTCCTTTTTGTAGAGATTTTAATTAGTTCTGTTTATGCCTTGTCAACTAGAATAATGAATATATTTTATTGTTATATTAAAAAAATTTCTTAGATAATCTGAATGTAATACACAATTGAATGGATCTTCTGCTCTTATTCAGGTGCAAAACAGGAGCCAACAACTGAGTGATCAGGCTCTGGTAAAATTCATTCATTTGCGTATCTTGTGTATTCGATAGCAACTTTGGTTCATCCACCTGCTCCATGCTAAATAGCAAGGAAGAGAAGTTTTTGATTATATCGATCGTTTTTATATCTTGTAGGTACGCTGTGAGTACAGCATGGCTAATTTTAGTACTGGAGATCGAATGAGAAAACCTAAGGGTGACAGGTTGGTTCTTCTCTTGATGATTGTTGTTTTGATTAGTAGGAAAAATTTGATGCAGTTTTAATTTTGTATATTTCATGGATGTATTATCACATGCATGATCACAGGTGTCAAAAAATGTTTTTTCCTTGGGTCAAAGGGTATAAAGATAATTTTTAACATTCTGATTTGGTGAGGTGGTTTTGCTTTGCATGTAGACCTTTTCTTGAAAGTTGAACAAACCTTCATTGTAAAGGTATGAAAGGTGTATAGCCCTAGTACCACCACTCCCTTTTGTTTAGAAGTTCTGGACCATTATCCAGTTTCTGCCAATCTGTATGTCTTTCTTCGGCTACTTAAACTTAATTTGATAGAGATTTTTGTCATTTGTTCACTTGGTTGAACAATTTACAAGTGAAAAAAATCGAATGGCTAAAAGATCCTTTGGTCCATGAGTTTCTTTTCTTCTTTTTTTTTTAACTTCACTCTAATATTTGGTTGGGAAGGGGAGCCTTGGCTCGATAGTTAAGTTGTTGCGACCTGGAGGTCATGGATTTGAGTCACAGAAACGGTCTCTTGCAAAATTGCAAGTGACGCTGCGTACATTAGACCCAAAGAGGTCCAACCCTTCCGCGGACCTCACGCATATCGGGAGCATCATGCATCGGGTTGCCTTTTACTCTAATATTTGTTTGTGAGTCTCTCTTTCCTTTTCTCCCTTGTGCTAAATGTGAAATTGTGGTGGTGTTAGGATCACCTTCTTCCATACTCCACATGGATTGTGCTTGCTAGACTGATTGTGCACTGCTCTTATGCATCCAATATAGAATAAGCAGTGAAATGTGCTAAGTAGGTGCTTCTTGGGGCTCTTTCAAATGCTAGAGGCGTCTCATACCTGGATAACTAATAATTAGAGCAGTCTCCTCGGTAATTATTTATGACATCGACCAACTATATACTTAATTTAAACCATCTTAAATCACAGAACACGATAGCTCATGCACTTAGCAATGCCTCTTTTACTCTCTAGCCGGTGCTCAAAAGAAAGAAACAAGGAAGAAGGGTAATCTCCTGATTGGCTCAACAGTTAATGTGCCAATTGGTCTTCGCGATATGCGCATCAAAGAGTTGCATGATTACATAGTTAGGCGTGGGTCATTCCAATGTCTTGATGAATGCTAAATGCCTTACTACAGAAATGTGGTCGTGACTAATAACATGCCTATGAAACACATGAATATTGAGGGCCATATTTTGCTCCTGTGTCCTGCAAATCACAGATGGCTGAATGTGGGAAATTCTGGATTTTATGCCAGAGGGTTCTTTTTTTTCCCTTTGAAGTAAATAGGAAGCTAAATTCCTCTGCCAATCGCTTAAAAGATCATCCAAAGATATTTGATCTGACATAACTTGAGCTTTCAAGATATTACTTAAGTGGAATTCAGGAAAGCTTAAGAAACCCTAGAACTAGAAGTCAAGAGAATATAGTTCAGCACTGGATATACAAAATGCTACCAAGTACCAACAGAAATGTTTAGTGAAAATAGCGGTTGAAAGCTTATATTGATGCTGAGGAAATTTTCAAAAGAACAATCGTAGGTCTACTGCATCAGACTTTTTTAATTTTGGGGAGTCTAACTATGTGAACATCTTTAGGTGATTTGACATTGAAACCTGTCGCCATGGCCACAGGTTATTGTAACCCATTATAGCCAAGGCTCGAAAATCCTGCCTCGAAACTTCTCTTCCCAAACTCAGATTGTTATTCATGTTTGCAAAGTTCCAAAATTTCCTGCAATATCCTTGTGGGAGGGAGACGTGTGTCAGGATCCAGCCATAATAGTTGTTCTCTCTTTGCTTGGGCATGTGCCTTCATGTCAATTTTTCTTAAGGCACTCGATGTTCACGCCACTGCTGTTGTTCAAATTAATAATCGCTGCTACTTACTGGGAACTTCATTATGCCTGAATATATACACCACATGCGTCGTCTTTGCTCATTGATTATGAATTGTTAAGAGAAGTAAACAATCCTAGCTGGTGTATGGTATTGTTATGCCGCTATCTCCAAAGGCATGTGGGGGTAAAAATAAGCTGGTGAGAGAGACGTGTCATTTAAAACGTTGATTCTGGTCATTGAGATATGTCAAACAAGGCCAAAAATGAAAAAAGAAGATATGTCGATCACTCCCAAAGCAGGTCATGTCCTTTACTTTTCTGGTGTTTGCAATAAGTTGGTTGCCGATTTCTGTCTCTTTTCAGTGAGCCAGGCCAAGCTTTGATATTGTGGGTGCTGAGACATTTGGTTAATATATTTGGAAGTTAATCCTGAAAGTTCTACAATCTCCTTATTCATTATCTCGTGAATGTCTTAAACGAATATTATTTTGATAATGTCTGTTGTGAGCTGTGGAGCGCTATCTCTGTTCAGTGCTCTCATGATTGTAACTGGTTTCAGTTAGAGCACACATTGATTAGGTTACCTGCTTGAGAATGGGTGTTCTCTTGCCTTATTATTTCCAATATCTATGAATACGCTTTATTGTGACTAGTAATTGCTACCGATGTTTCTTGTCTGATTTCCGCCTACTTTTGTGTTCAGACGGTCAACAGAGATATCTCTTGTTATTCGACAGACAATGGAAGCATGCATATTGACTCAGCTTATGCCTCGTTCTCAGGTTACTTAACAGCATTTTCATATTCTATTTGGTATTTGAATGCTTTATTTTTTTTCTAAATGCTTTTCTTTTAAATGTCACAGATAGATATATATGTCCAAGTTCTTCAAGCAGATGGAGGTAAGTACAACCAAATAGTAAACTAGATGCATTGTCCTTCATGTTTTCTACTGTTCTCATAAGTTCTCAGATGCTTTCTTTCTTTTCTCCATGAGGCTGGTCACTGCCCCATGATGTCTTTGATTTCCTCAGTTCACTGCTAAATAATACATATGCCTTTGTCCAGATAAGTGTCAATTATTATTGATAATCCTTCGGTAAACTGATTGTAGTACACATTTCATTCATCCTCATAATCTGCATCCATCATGCCATGCCATGCCATGCAATGGCAGCTATAAGGGTCATGAAATCTTGAGAGAAGTGAGTGGCATTGGCGAGCACTCAACAGCCCTTCTCTTCTTGCTTATGGGATATGCATATTCGCACTACAGTGTTAACAATGGAACACTGAGATTGTCTTTATCTGTCATGTATTTTTTTTTACCAATAAAACTGTCATTTGACTGTGGCAGTTTTACACAGGAACTCGGTCTGCGTGCATCAATGCTGCCACTTTGGCCCTTGCCGATGCTGGGATCCCAATGCGCGATTTTGTTACATCGTGCAGTGCTGGATATCTTAATAGTACGCCACTTCTTGGTTAGTGTATATATAAGTTGTGTCGCTTCCTTAACTTCAACTGTTTGGTGAATCAAAGGACGACATAATAAGCTAATGTTGCTGATTATACTTCGGAGCTAATTTTGTCTCTTCTTGTAACCTGGATAGATTTGAATTATGTAGAAGATAGTGCAGGAGGCCCTGATGTTACAGTTGGAATTCTACCAAAACTGGACAAAGTGACTATTCTGCAGGTACCGAGTGATCATATTATTTGTCAAGCTTTTTTCATGTCTTAGCAATCTTGTGATATCTGCAATTCACTTTGGAATTGATGTTTCTGCTGCAGATGGACGCTAAATTACCTCTTGATATATTTGAAAATGTCATGCAACTTGCGGCAGAAGGCTGCAAAGCAATTGCAGATTACATTCGAGAAGTAAGATGTTACTTCACCTTTGAAATTCGAAGAAAGACTAACTTCTGATATTTTGGTTTGGGGAAATGTCAGGGTCATTGACTTTTGATGTGAAATTTCCCCATGATTTGCTTGTCTCCTAAGTCATGCTTCCTGAGCTTCACATGCACAATTTGGTTGCAGGTTTTGAGTGAGAATACCAAACAGCTAGAGTTCCGGCGGGGTGTGTAGTGTTTGCGCGTGGTCATAGTTAGATCTTCCGAGAGATGCCTGCCATGGGAGGGATGGAGATGGGCAAAGGATTGGATGTAAATTTTGGATTCGACACCTCCGAAAAAGGCGGGACGTGAACAAAGGAGAAGGAACCCTTTCGGTTTCATTGCGTAATCTGATTAACGCCATTGTCTGTGGCAACGTTTGTGCGGACTGATGGTGTACCCTAAAAAGTTGTGGGGAGGCACAATGTTGCTACAAAGTTCTGCAGAAAGTACATCAAAATTTTGTGCTAAAGCTCCCTCATTTCTGCCATGCCTGTCCATTTGCTCTCTCTGGGGACGGAGTTTAATGCCAATTTGACAATGTCATGTCACCTGTTAAAAGAATGAATCTCCATACGATTACATGCAGCTTGTAATTCTGCAGTGCAAAGAAAAGTAGGTTACGACGAGGGCCGGCAAGGGCGTTGCGGCCCTCACCCAGAGCCAGCGAGGGCTGGGATGCCCTTGCCAGTGCTGGGGAGGGTCGCCGGCCCTCAGGCCAGAGGAAAGTTCATCAAAATTTTGTGCTAAAGCTCCGCCATTTCTGCCATCCCTGTCCATTTGCTCTCTGGGGAGGGAGTTTTATGCCAATTTGACAATGTCGTGTCACCTGTTAAAAGAATGAATCTCCATACGAACATGCAGCTTGTAATTCTGCAGTGCAAAGAAAAGTAGGTTATTAGCTAGCTACTTTCGATGAGGGCCGGGATGTTCTCGCTAGTGCTGGGGAGGGTCGCCGGCCCTCAGGCCAAAGGAGAAAAAAAAGTAAAGAAAAGAAAAGGAAAGGAAAAAAGAAAAAAATTTGTTAAAAACTCAAAAAATTATTTTTAAAATGTCCATGTCAGCATCGGTCATGTCGCGTAGGATGACTGGCATTCACGTTAGCAATTTCCGGGCAAAATTGGCCGGATAAACTCAATTGGCAGAAATGTTGTTTTAGGATTTAATTAGCATAATTGAAAGATTTAGAACTAAATTGGCACAAATACAATGGGTTAACGTAGTCATGGCCACGGTTCGGAACCAGCGGTTCTGGTTCGTGGCCATGTATGAACTGGAACCGGAACCGCTTCGTGGCCATGTATGAACCGGAACCGGAACCGCCCCTGGCGGTTTCGGGCCGGTTCCGGTTCATAATTTAAAATTTTAAAAAATAAATTATGAAATAAAAAAATTATGAATTATAAAATTATGAAATAATAAATTATTCAATATAAATTGTAATCAAAATGTAAATTGTAATCAAATTTGGGGACAAAAAGAGAGAGGGGGCTTGAACTTAATAAATTACCATTAAGCGCCTTACAATTCGTTACAATGATCTATAAAAAAAAAAAAAGGAGCGCCCTAAAATGACCCCAAAACCTAAGCCTATCCGAACCCCCGCATTCCGTGCGCAGGGATCACATGTCGTCGGATTATACTTCGGTTTCCCTAAGCTCACCTGGGCGTGCCCAGTTTAAGAAACAAGGGTTCCCGAAATATTTGCCAACTCCAACAGTTCTTTTACCCTCAATCGTTGCTACCCGTTCCGGTACCGATACCGGTTCCGGTACTGGTACCGGTAGCGATGGTATCTCCGTCGTTAAAGAATTAGGATTCATTATTCCGATCTATCTCTTGTTGTCGGTATTGAGCCTTCGTCCAATTATCGACACAAGCTTGAGCCTCCACTGATTCTGGAACTAATCTTGAACGATGTTTGTCCAAAATATTACCTCCGGCACTAAATGCTTGTTCGACCTCTACTGTAGAACAAGGGGTTGCAAAAATTTGTTTTGCAATAAGAGAAAGGATTGGGTTTTGGCTCTGTACTACCTTCGGATTCAGTAAACTCAAAGGAAACGGTTAGATAAATCTCTAATTCAAAAATATTTCCTATTACTTCCTTTTGCTTTTTTTGTCTATGTAATAAAAGTTGATACCCTCTACTAATTTTATCTCTACTCTCACTTTGTGTCTCTGTAGATTGAGAAGATCCAATATCACCTAAATTATATTTAGTATAAAATTTATTATATAATTCTATTACTACGTTTTTAACATCACTTAGTATGGTTGTAACATTTACCGTATCATAATGTAAACATTGATAATACATATGCAAATAATCACTTAAACCATCTAATTTGCAACGCGGATCAAAAACACAAGCAACTAAATAAATAATGGGAATTTCGTTATAATAATGTAGCCACTTCATTTTCATTGTTACTATAGTATTTTGTAATTCAACATCATTTTCATATCCCTCAAAAACTCCAACAATATTAATACACTCTACTAAAAATAAATGCGTAGTAGGATAATAAACACCGGAAAAGTATAAGTTGCATCATTAAAAACCTTTAAAATATCTAAAAAAATTTTGCAAATATCCCACTCTTGTGGGTATAAATTAATCTGAGGTATATTATTAGAAATGAATGAACATAATAAATCTTTATATGCAAAAGATTCACTAAGCAAGTGGAAAGTAGAATTCCAACGAGTTGGAACATCTCTTGGAAATCTTTTTGGCTTTTTGTCATTTGCTTTACAAAATCTACCCCATTCTTTCATTTTTTGGGATGTTTTTCATAAAAATTGAATCGCCGTTTTTATTGGTTCAAGAAAAATATCAAGAGTTTTCAAACCATCTTGTACACATAAATTTAAAACATGACAAGCACATCTAACGTGAAAAAATTTTCCGCCAAAAGCGAGTTTACAAATATTTTCTAAATTGGCAATTGAAGCGGTATTTGCCGCGGCATTATCAAAACCAATTGAAAAAATTTTGTTAAGCAAATAATATTCTTCTAAAATTTGCCTAATTATTCTATAAATATTATTTGCCGTATGCTTACCATCGAAAACTCTAAATGCAATAACTCTTTTTTGAATATTCCAATGACATGTTATGCCCATGTAAGAATGAATTTGCCAATGATCACTCCAAATATCACTATCTATATGCACACATCCATTAAATTGCATAAAAAAGTTTTGTAAATCTTTTTTTTCCATTTTTGTAAAGATTTTTAATTACTCGTTTAAGTGAATTTCTAGGAACATATTTTGCTTGTGGAGCACATGCTTTTTGTACAAATTGATTAAAACCAAATCTTTCTCCAAAATTAAATGATAAATGCTCAACGGAAACAAATTTACCTAATTCTTCCTTATAAGTTTTTTCATTAAAACGAAATAAAGGAGAAGTGTTAGGATTGACGTACCCAAAAATTTGTTGTTGCCTGATATCGATTCCCGCTTGGGTTGGATGTTTGCTCCTAAGATGTCGTTTGAATGTTCCATATCCTTGTCCACCTGTATATTTATATATTTTCCCACAATGTTTACAAATTATATCATAACTTTTTTGACTAATATCAAACCTTTCCGTTTTCGTAAAGTGGTCCCAAATGTCATATGTAAGTTCCCGCTCCGCCTCCTTTGTTGTAGATATTTCGGCATGAGGATGAAGACTTTCTTGCGTCGGGACGCGCTCCACATCGGGAAAAATGTTGATTTCATCATCTTGAAATTCTGCATAATCACGAGGATCAAAAGAATGATGGGATTCCGTCATGATATTCTTACCTTTGCCAGTTGGCACTTGCCTTCCACCTGCCATTTTTCGAGTGGATTGAGAGAATTGAGCGGATTGATTAGGAGAATTAAGAGAGAATTGCGCGGATTAAGAAAATTGAGAGAATTTAAGAGAATTTGAGAGAATTTAGAGTATTGAGAAAGTTTGAGAGAAGAGAATTTGAGAGAATTGAGAGAATTTGAGAGAATTTATAAGAAAAAAATGAGAAGAAAATTTAGGTTAAAAAAAAAGGCTAAATAACCGTTGCAATTTGCAACGGTTATCTTTTTATTTTATTTTATTTTTTATTTTATTTTTGCCCGTTGCCAAGGCAGCCTGCTGGCAACGGGCCGCAGCAAGGCCTGCAGACATGCAGGCCGTGCTGCAGGTTTTCTGTTTTTATTTATTTATTTAAATTATTTAATTTTTTTTTTGGAACCGGGTTTCTGTTTTTATTTATTTATTTAAATTTTTTAATTTTTTTTTTGGAACCGGGCCCAGTTCCGAGCCGGTTCCAAAATTGCTGGAACCAGAACTGGGCCCATAGGCCACGGGCCGGTTCCGGTTCCGAACCGCGGGCCTGGTCAACGGACCAGGCCCGGGTTTGACCGGGCCTGTTCCGGACCGAAATCGGCCCGTGGCCATGACTAGGTTAACGACTCTTTTGACACTTTTTCCCTTTGCAATGAGTCATGGACTACCATACACCAAAGTACATAGCACCGTACACCAAAGTACATTGAAGTTGGCAAGTTGACTTTTTCTTGACCAAATACGAGAGAGAGTAGCATTTCAAGCTTCTTTAGAAAAAAAAAGAACCTTTTTTTATGCATATTTCCTTTATTTTTATTCAATTGACTAAAGACTTTTTTAATTTAATTATTCCATGACAAAATTGGATATGAGAAAATACGGGGCATTGCAGTTCACTGTATACGGTTCTACAACTTCATTTCAACCCAAAAAATTAATGGATTTCGATTTGCGTTAATTAGTATTAGTGAATTTTTACTCTTACCGGATGTACATATAATGTTAATTTCTTGATGTGTAACTAACGAAATATGTTCTATGATAATTGTATTGGTATCAAAATCATATCGGCTAATTTTATGGTTATTTTGAATTTTTCAAGTCATTTATATCTTTCCAAACTTGTCACATAAAAAATGATTTTTCTTTATGAAAAGTAGGTTATCAGCTAGCTAATTTTCGATATTGTAGATTATCATTTTAAGCAAGTGGTGTTTTCTAACTTCAATTTCGAGGTCTCGTATTTAAGAGATTTTCTTCAAAAGATTCAAGAAAACGAACGAATGCTCAATGTATATCCATTCATCTCGCCAATGGAGACAAGAAGTACGTCAAGTTTCAATAATAGGTTTTTGCAAAGTACCAAATATTTGCGGACGGATAATATAAGAATTTGATCGCATTATATATCACTCATTTTCACCATCTTAGATGCATATTTAATGATTATATATGATGCAACTGTTAATCTTAAGGAAATGTGGCTGAGATGATTTTATCACTAATTATTAAGAACTTCATAAAATTGGATAAATATATATTTTTTTGGGTCAAAATTGGATAAATATTTTATTTAAAAAGTAGTTTTTTTGTGAATTTTTTGGGAAGCACCAATTTCAAAAAAATAAATAAATCACATTCCATTGATGGGATGGTCCGAGGTCACCCCAAGCGAAACAATTTACATCATGCACCATCCACATGAAGCAATCTGTCACTCCAAGAAAAAGGGATTCCATTCGACCCGATAATACATTTTATCGCACCAAATGAGGTTTAAAGAGATAAGTGTCAATAATATATTTATGTTAGATTAGCGAACGAAAACCTCATTGAAATCGCTATAATGGTGCGAAAGTCATACTAAATTGCAAAGTTTCGTATAAGATCATATACGAACGATCACAAAATGGTCCCGAGATTAAGTTTCGCCGAATTTTACCAAAATACATATATATAGTGTCAATGGGTCGGATCGGGTCGAGTCGGGTCTTCATGATACCCGACCCAATCCAAGACCCGAATAGTATATAGCCACACGATTGGGTCGGGTCGGGTCGTGTCTATCTTGATCAGGCTTCATGTTTCAGGATTTTTATTTTAAAATAAGGTTAAATCACACTTCCGGAGAAGAAGGAACGGGAGATAAAAAAAAAAAAAAAGCATTCTTTCTAAATAACGAGATTATATATGTACAGAAGCAATTTTCAAAATAGATTTTTTCCCAAAGTCATTTGCCACACTAGGACTTCGCCCTACCACACTGTGCCTAAAGGTTACCTAATCATCACCCCTCCACACATGTAATATCTTTATAGAATTGGCGTTCGAAATATGGATAAGAAAATATTTGAATATATTTCGAAATTATTTGTGTGTGGAAGTATTTGCTTATTAATTTTTAAGTTTATCAATGGCTAAAAACAAATGTATATTTAAACTAGGTTTTCAATCCATTTTGTTTACAAGTTAGACTAGGATTTAAAAATTGATAACTACTACTACATCTAGCTATAGGATAAAAATTCTATAATTAGCCTCTGTCTGTTTCACGGGAAATGAGTAATTTGAAAAATATTTTTTAAAAATTGATCGCCTGCGTTGCATACAAAAGAACAAATGAACGATATTTTCATTGTCCGTAAAAATTTCGAGACATAAATAATTATCGATAATGAAAAATTTCTCGTTAGCTAACTATTTCAATAGATACAAACGACTGTTTTTAGGAAAATATTTTTCAAATCGTTCATTTTTCGCGAAACAAACAGGGCTTTAAGTTAATTAGTGTCATTCGGCTAAATCCCTCTTAAACTATCAATTTACTCAATTGAAAGATTACAATAAAATTAAAAAACTAAAAATAGGAAAAACACATATCTATTTATATGTAAAATATTCTAGAAATTGTATAGCTTTATACTCCCTTCAAAAAAATTGGAGACATGGAAAAAAAATATCTAAGAAAATTAAATTTGATATTAGAGTAAACTAACAGATCAATCAAACCATCAAATAGAAAAGTTAGACCACTTATTTTTTTTTAAATATTTTTTCCTAATTATAAGATAAAATGGCGTCAATAAAGAAAAAGAATGAATGACAAACTTTTTTTTTGTCCCTATTACATTCTACACTTCAATTTTCTTCAGGGAAGGATTTCTCGATCAACCACAACAACTAAATATTAAAAGAACGGTTAGGAAAAAAATTTCATTTTACTATTGAAAAGATTTCATTTTATATTCTTCCCTCAAAATTTATTTTGCTTTATCTTTGCCATTTAATTTTTATTATACGCGCTTGCTAGTTTATTTCTTCCATAACGAAACACGTAACCGGTAAATCGTCATCCTGGTGAACTACAAAAACACTATGTTATAATATCTTTGTTTTTCTTCTGTTTTTCATTTTGAGTTGGTGCATTAACATGTTAACAAAATGGATATTAATTAGAAAGCGAAAAAAAATGGCCACGATGTAATATTATATAACGATATAATTGCTCGAAGTAAAAAGAATGTCAACACGAAATAAAAAATTCAAAAAAAAAACTGAAATAAAAATGAAAACATAGTACTTAATAAATTATTGGATTGTAGAGATCTTTTTGGCGTAGATTTTCTAAATATGATAATGAAAAATTAAAATTTGTCAAAAATGTCAAAAATTATTAACTTTAGGAGAGATAAGAAAGTGAATAGGATGATTATGTGATAACTAGGAAATCTTTAGACATGACGTGGCATGGAAGTCAAATTTGGAAAATTATTTTAGGAGATATTTATCTCGGGAATCTCCTTTTTTTAAAAATCTATTCTGGGAAAAAAAAAAACAAGTCAAGTTTGGCCGTTCTTATGGCCGAGAATGGCAATTTTTTTCCTTAAATGGGAAAATTATTTTGACCAATAATTTTTAATTAAATTACAAAGAGATCCAAATTTGATATTGGGGAAAAAAAAACTCGAATCCCCCTTCCAATGGGTGCACAGCTAACGATACGATAAGACATGATATGACTTGGCCTTTGTATCTCCTTTTATTTAAGGATTATTGGTAGGTCCAATGCCAATGCAACCAAAAAAAAAAGAAAAAAAACTTATGCATTGGTCGTCGAACGATTTACATGCTTGCTTGAACTTAATTATGTAACCAGTACGTCTATAATTCGATTGTAATTGTAGAAGGTAATTCTTACACCGATAGCAGAACTGACGATTCATCTATCGAAATTGTGCGTATAAATAATTTTCTCGATCATGTATTTTCTCAATCTTTGATTTTGACATGTTGTTGATCATTGGCCATGCCCGGAATTAGGGTCCAATGACATAATGGGTGACGGTGGGTAAACATATGGTAAATGCCCGAAATAATCTCCGGTAAGAGTCTAGTTCGGGTCACAGCTTTTTCGACCCTGAACCTGGACCTAGCTCAAAAACCGAACACCTATTAGTTTAATCCAAAACGATCCCAATTTGGGGTTCCAGCTTGGCACTATGCTTAGAACGACTCGACGGTTCGCGGATTTAATACGGTAGCGCTGCCGATTCGGATCATTCTGTCCTCATTCGAAAGGAGACCGATTCACCGGATCTTGCGAAATTCCTGATAGATTCGAGAGGAGTTAATGCACCGGCGGTTATATTTCGACTCTGTTGTCGGGTAGTTTCTCTCGGGGGGGGGGGTGGGGTGGGGTGGGGTGGGGGAAACGGAAAACGGCATAACTTACGGGCCCGCAACTCATGCCCATGGAAAAAGGCCGGGTCGCCTCGCCTCGCCTCGCATCGCGGCAGGAGGCGGGCGGGCGGCAACGCCCTCACCTCCTCCAACCCCCTCCCCACCCAACCTCCTGGCACGCGCAGGGCACGTGCCATCCATCTCGAGGTATAAAACCGAAAATCAAAGCTAGAGAGAGAGAGAGAGAGAGAGGGGGAGGGAGAGAGAAATTGGGCGTGGTGATTTTTTTTCTGCAGAGTGGAAAGAAGGAGAGAAAGAGAGAGAGAGAGTCTTCCTTCCTTCCTTCCTTCCTGTCTTTTCTGTTCTTCTCATACGTTTCATTCAAAGTGTCCCTCAAAAGAAAACAACAACAACAGCAACAACAACGTAGAAGAAGGAGAAGGAGAAGGAGAAGGAGGAGAAGAAAGAAACTGAACGCCCAAAACTTAATATTAGCAATTCACCCACACCCCCGCCCACGCCCCACACACACAATCTCATCTCCATCTCCCTCTCTCGCCACTGCGAAACCCTAATCTCCGTCCTCCCTCTTCCCGTTCCGTCACCGCTCCCGCAATCGCTCCGTCTCCCTCCCGGATTGCGCCCGCCCTCCCGTTCCGCCGCCGCGACTCGCCGGAGGACCCCGGCTTCTCGGCCTCCGCGCTCTTGCGGGAGCTCCGGCTTTCTGCCGCTTCCGGAATCGATTGCTGCTGAGGCGGCGGCGGCGGCGGCGGGTGCTGGGGGTTCCCTTTTCCCCTAATCCCTCCGGACGGGGATTTCGCGCCGCCCCTTTCGAACCCTAGGCGCCGGGAGTTGTCGGAGTTCCTCACGTCCTTAGGGTTGGGGGGGGTTAAATTTCGGCCATTGGACCCGTGCGGGAGTTTCTGATTTGAGGCGCCCCTCATTGGATTTTTTGATTTCGGGACTTTGGGATATTGTCGGAATTCCGGGCTGTCGTGGGGAAGTGGCTCGCTTGCGGTGCGCGCGCTTGTGCGTAATGAGGGTCGGCTGACCTTGCCTTGCTGCGCCCGCGAAATCCATCTCTTCATTGGGATGGAGGTGTAGAGGGGAGCCCCTCTTCTCATCATTGTGCTTATTTCCGGGGGGGTTAATGCGTGTTCTGGTTGTCATTGCCTTCGTACTCGCGCTTGCGTTAGGATTTTGTTCTTCTGATAGACTTGCCTAGTTAATTGCCGGTGCTTTGCTCGTCGGGAGCGGCGGAAGGTGCTTTGAGGGGATCGCGACGACACGGCATCTTTTGACTAGGAAGGGACATTGGTTTTCAGGATAAGGTTTCCGGGACTCTGAACAGATGGGAAAGGGCGGCAAAGTATAGTAGTTGTTCGATTTAGGCTCTTAATATTCTCTGAGGATGTGCATCGCTCCCCATGGAAAGAAGTGAACCCACTTTAGTTCCAGAGTGGCTGAGGAATTCTGGCGGCGGAGGTGCTTCGGGAGTCAGCAGCTCAGCCAACCACTCTTCACATTCAGGTAGTTTGCCCTTGCCAATTTCCGCTCCATTCTAACTTTTGCAATGCCATATTTATTTTGGCCAACACATTAGTCATCCTGAGCTTTGCATTGCCAATAATGCACACTGACGTACACGATTGATATGCGCTTGTAGCAGGTATTAGTGCTGCTGTAATCATGACGTTTTATATTTTTGTTAACTTGAGTGCTTTTATTCTCTAGAATCTCCTTCTTCGGGATCTCGTAGGAGAAGTAAAACTTCCAAGGGCGGGAATGACTTTGATGGCCGCCACTCGACATTAGACCGCACGTCTTCACTTAATTTACGGGGGAGTTCTGGTAATAATGGTCTTGTAAAGAATGCATACAGTAGTTTCAGTAGGAGTCACCGCGACAGGGAACGCGACAGGGAAAGAGGACGGTTGAGCTATGATGAGTCTTGGGACCTCGATGGTTCTGATTCACTGGGATGTGTCTTAAATAATAGGATTGAGAAAGATCCACTGAGGCATTCCCATTCAATGATTCCAAGAAGGCACGGTGAACTGTTGCCTCGTCGTGTGGTTCCAGAGGTAAAAAATGGAAGCAATGATGCACAAGATAACATTGCTAAGAATGGTCCAATTTCTGGGGTTAGTACCATTCACCATGCTGTATCTGAGAAGGATTTCCCATTGCTTGGAGCGGAAGAAAGGCAAGGGATGGCAGATAAAGGAAGAGCCATGTCCCCTGGTTTGCCTGCCAACATCAATTGTTTGCCAGGTGCTAGTTCAGCTTTAGCTAGCAGTGAAGGATGGACATCGGCTCTGGCGCAGGTGCCGAGCATCTCTCCAACTAATGGCGTACAATCCTCATCTCATCAACAAAATGCAGTTGCTGCTCCGGTATGTGGGACTGCAACGGCAACGACTGGTCTTAAAATGGCTGAAGCTTTAGCACAGGCTCCGTTGCGAGCAAAAACTGCTCCCCCGGTAAGAGCACTTGATGTGGTATCTTCCCGAATCTTCTATAATTTCCGTGGCGAATCTAATCGTTCCTTCCTTCTCTCTTGCAGTTGTCAGTGAAGACACTGAGGCTTGAGGAGTTGGCCATTAAGCAATCTAGGCAGCTTATACCGGTGACCCCGTCAGGTTCTAAGACTTCAGTAAGAAGATTTATGAGCTTGTTCTGCTGTTCCGCACCTTCATTTTGGGTTTTTATTTTTCCCTGATGTATGGCTTCATGTGTTTAAATCAACATTCTTCGCTCCGAAAGTTTCTGTTATTTTTGCTCGTGAACAACACTGTAACAATGAAGTAATGCTTTTTTCCAAGTATGAATGTCAATAATCATATAGCTGATTGGGCACAGATTGGATTATGTGGTTGCATAAATCTGAGATTGGTTGCACGAAGGCAATTACTCTTTGAAGGAAAGGATAGTGGAGCTTCCAATGTTTGGGATTTACCAGAGTATCATGTCTTAGCAGTTTCTGAAATTATTTGTTTTGGATATTTCCGGTGGTTTTGAATACATCTTTCTGTTGCGGTCGTGCCTGTGTGTGGATAACTATAGTTTTATTTAGATAATAGAGTGGACAGTACTTTGGAGTGGTCTTATACGCCTTTTGAGGTTGTTTTCCTTAGAGCAATTTGTCTTCTCGAGTAGCTGCATGGACTAGTTTGGATTTCCAGGTTTTCTTTTTTCATTTTTTTCCTGCTTCTTTTGTTCAATATCACAATCAGTTTGGCGTGTTGGGGGATTTGTATCCTTTAATGTGCTCATTTCCAAAAATCAGTCCTCATTCGAGAAATGGTGAGCCGTACCAAGATTTTTCTTAATGGCTGTATGATTGCTAGTTGTTTTCCAGCTTATTCTTGAGCATGTAGTTCACTTTGCTGCTACTTGATTTATTTTACAAAGAACTAAAATATATGGTGTTTTTTTTTTCTGGGTGAAGGAGGATGGTAGGATGCTGTTAAACTGTATATAGGTGCTGATTTTGAAGAAACTTGTTTTCGTCTTTTTGTCTAGGAAATACGATGTGATAATAGCTTATTGTATTTTGTTTTAAGGTGCTTAATTCGTCTGAAAAATCCAAGTCGAAAGCAGCTGTAAGAAATGGGGAGAGAATATCTGCTGTCAGGAGTGGGCAACAGCAACTCTCTTTATCTGCTAATCAGTTTCTTCGAGGTGGACATACTAAATTGGATTCACCACAGACACCTCATGCTGGGAAGTTTTTAGTTCTCAAGTCCACCAGGGAGAATGGTGTTTCTCATGCTCCAAAGGATATGGGAAGTCCAACCAGTGTTAGTAGCAGCAAATCATTGAGCAGCCAGCCTAATGTTGCTAGTTCTGTGGCTCCTGCTCCTTTAAAAATTGTGAACAACCCGACGCATTCCTCTCTGGAAGACAAGTCTGCTGTCTCCTTTTTGAACCCTGTTACAGTTTTGGAGAAGAGACCTTCCTCGTCTCATGCACAAAGCCGAAGTGAGTTTTTCAATCTCATTAAAAGGAAAAACTCAACAAAGGGTTCTTCTGTTCTCTTAGAGTCGGGCCCTGTAATCTCATCTCCAAGCAAAGAAAGTTCTTGTCAAATAATTGAGGAATCAGTCAATGCCCCTGGAAGTCCTGTGGCTGACAATGGTGGTGAGATGTGCAGCAGTGGTGGCAGCTCTTTAGAAGCTCTGAGACTTCCTAATGATGAAGATGATGGTATGAGTCTCACAGCAGCAGTTTATCCGAATGAGGAAGAGGCTGCTTTTCTTCGTTCCCTTGGATGGGATGAGAATGCTGGTGAAGATGAAGGTCTCACAGAAGAGGAGATCAATGCTTTTTATCAAGAGGTAAATTGCTGTGTGCTCAAATGCTGTCAGAATTGGTTTGAATTCTTGATGTCTTGTTAGGTTAGCGTGATGATGATTCCATATTCTACCCTTGTTGGTAGCCTTTCCCAAATGGGAAAATTATGCTTTTTACCTTGCATCATTGATGTTGTTACGCGTTACATCTCCACTTTTCCAACTTTTCACTTTTAATCTTCATGTTTCATTTTAACAACAAACGACCTCATCTTTAGCAATAGTTCAAAGTCCAAATAAGGTGGCACATGTTTATGAAGATACATTAGAATAATTGTAAGTACATTATGCCCTTGTGGCTGCTAAACCCCATTATGCTATCTCCTCTTCTTACTCACAAGGAAAAAGGAAAGAAAGGAAGAACTTGAGCTAGCTGTCATAAGCCCTAATCAGGCCCCCCAGATCAGATGCATGCCAAGACCCACCTGAAGTGCTTTCCACTGGTGCCAGTGAGCAAATCTGATACCAGTGGAATTTTCTTCTTTTGGCGGGCATTTTGCCAAGACTCGCCTTGAATAGTAGTCATGTGTGGAACTTAAAGTGGGAGATTTTAGAGGATGCATATATACGGTTGGTAACATAGTATACTGTGGCTAGCTTTGGCTGGAATGGGTTTTGCTCATATGGTTATCTGGGGTGGGTTGATCCGGTTGGAACTTGAAAGAGCCCTAATTTTTTGCTTCAACTCTTTCTCTCATGAGTTACACAAGCACTTATACTGAGGTGGTCCTTCTGGACTGATGTCCAAAGTGTTCAATGAATACTCACGCAAAAGAGGGACGAGAAGAGTTGTGGATAAATGATAAACAAGATAAGGGAGGGGGGCTTTGGATCTGTTGAATATAGAGGACCTTTGTTGTCATTTCATTTTTTCAATTAAACTAAGAGCATCATCTGTTGAGGATGTAAATTATAAGTTTTCATAGGAGTGGGGATACAGAGTATAAGTGTGCCTACAATTGAGGATTGAGAACTCGGTTTTACTTAATGCTTTCTGGTTATTTCTTGGAGGATGAGAGAAGATGCTTCATTAGGAATTATTCTTATTGTGGTTCGCATTAAATGGATCAATTTCACTTTAACAATTTGGTGGAAATTATTCAACATGTGGATATTATTTGTGGTGCAGTACACAAAACTGAGGCCATCTCCGAATGTCTGCCGGGGAGTGGAGCCAATCCTCTCGAAACTGTCTGAAACTCGCATTGGTAGTATTGGCGGAGCCTCTGCGGAGATCATTCCATCTGATTCAGGATTCAAAGCTTGATTTACCAGCTCTGGAAGTCCAAATTTTGCTGGCTGGATGGTCCTTTGTTTTTGAAGGGACACCAATCTTGGGGTATGCAGGAGGATAGGTTCCTGTGGGGATTCAACAAATAGTTCAATAAGTTGGAGCTTTCATGTTTGCTTGTGGAAAAAAAAAATGAGGATTTTAGGGAATTTTGTTTCAGGATAGATAGAGGGTTTACCGTTTCGGAGGAGGTGCTGAGGGAGTTAGCATCTTTTGGGGTATTTTGGTCCTTTATTTTCCATCTCCTTGAAGAGGGTTCTGATCTTTAGGAAGAAATGCTTCTGGTGTTTCTTTTCATTTTACAACTGAAAAAGGAAAAAGAAAGAGGAAGTTCAACGCTTTGGTTCCTTTGTTCCTTCTTCTGCAGGTTCATTTTGGGAGTTATCTCCGGCTCCGGCGACTTAGGCCAAAGTAGAGTATATGTTGAAATACAGAAGGAGGTGATGTTACCTTTTTTTTTTGCTTGTTTATGAGCCAATGTGGTCTTTCCCGTCTTGCGAATGTTCCTTGCCCGTCGAGAGCAGGTTTTAGTCAGGGGCGTTAGTTTCTGACATGTCAGGATAATGCGCTCAAAACACAGCACAGGGAGAGAAACTCGAATTTGACACGGGACATACAGTGGACTCGAAATTGACATGATTTGACCCATGTTTCTCGTTTGTGTACATGATATGCCATGGTAGTTCATTTGGGTGTGAAAATAGTTTGATCAAATTAACGAAAACTTATTCCACTCGATCATTTGTTTTCCATGCTATGCTCATCGTACATTGTTTCAATCAAATGTTGGAATATCACGTAGGTTTTTACCAAGTGAGAGCGATTTTCGACATAAAAGGTGAGGACTTCTATTGCAAATACTCTCGGTGAATACTAATTGAACTATCCTCGGTTAATGAAGCGTTAATGGTGGTGAAGGTCTCATATGGAGGTATTCCTCTTCACTGGCTATGTCTCGAGACAATAATCCCTAAAGCAGTGTGTATAATTGAAAGTCACCGACTGGGTTATAAATTTTTTGCTCCTTTCCATCTCTCTGTGTTCTAGATCGATTTTTCCGTTGAACTTGTTGAACATCTCAATTTGCAAGCTCTTTGTACGATGGATTTGAGGGGGATTGGCTCGACCAACAATGTCCTTCTTGTCCTTCTACTCAAGGGTCCCAGCAAAGAGAGGCTGCTTTTGATCTTGAGGTCGCGAACGGTTAGCGCAATGACTAAAGTGCAGAGGCCACCGGTTGCAAATAGGACGATGTCTGGGTCAAGAACAAGAGTTAGCAATTGTTCGATTTGGTCGTTTTCTCTGCTCGTTGCCGGTACCGGTGAGATGTAGCCCGGGATATCCGGACTAACTCCTAGCAAGCTCGGAGTGCAGACACTTAGCCATCTGCTTCTTCAATACCCTTAACTTAGTTGATTCCATATGGGTTTAAGTCGCTAAGAGACTGTTGCCTCGAGGTAACTGGTTAACTGCTCGAGGACTAATTTGATGAGTAATCTACCCCTTGATTTGGAAGGACCACCCACCGACAACAAAGAGACTTATTCCAAGTCACTTTCCTCTCACCTTCTTTTTCTCGTATTTCGGCCATGGTTTTTGGTGTATCTCCCTAGCTAGACAATATTGAATCGGGCGTGGACTAGTGCAAAGTTTCTCATCGTCGGCATAAAGGACGAACCTTAACCGAACGGGAGACAAAATCTCTGACTAAATCATAAGACAGCTTCACATTCTATCTGTTCCGTCGAGCCGACCCGATGTCTTCTCTTCGATGCTTCCGCTCACGTCTTTTTGTGAGGGACCGCATCGGACGACGAAGTGCGCCCAACGTGGGTTAGCGAATGAGCGAATGCACGCTTAGCCAACCAGCAGCAGTGAGTTCCTCGGAGCCTCTCGACCGCTGTAGAAGAAGAGCTCGGCATGGCTGTCCCAATAATACCGAGTGGTGAGATTAACGATGCCATGTGATGAGGATAATGAAGATTAAAGATTAAAATTTGCAATAATTACTATTCTCTCTTATAAACGGAACAAACGGCTGAAAGCAACTCCTCTGCTTGGAAGTTGGAATCGCAGTGCGGTTGAGACATAAAATCTCAGGAAAAATTATCCAAAAAATCCTAAATCTATTATACGGCGGCCAATTCAGTCTTAAACCTTTCAATTTTGTCAATTCAGTCCTAAATCTTTTAAAAAGTTGCCAATTCAGTCCTAAACCTTTCAATCATGCCAATTTAGTCCTAAACCTATTGACTATTTGCCAATTTAGTATTAAACCTTTTAATAAATTGCTAATTTAGTCCTTCTGGCTAATTTTGTCAGGAGATCGTTGACGTGGCGGTCCAGTTGGTACCGGCAGTCCTACGTGGCGCTGACGTGGAGATCGCCGCAGCCGGCGAGGGCCGCGACGCCCTCACTCACAGCCGGGAAGGGCTTCACGGCCCTTGCCCATTGGCTAGCCACCTCCGCCTGCCCTCAACCAGCGAGCTCAACGAAGAAGAAGAAAGGAAAAAAAAAAAAAAGAGAAGAAAAGAATAAAAGTAAAATAATCAATAAAAAAATTCAATTTTTTTTAAATAGAAAATTATCCATGTCAATGTCACGTAGGATAACCGACGCCGACTGGACTGCCACATCAGCAATTTCTAGCCAAAATTAGTTAGAATGACTAAATTAGTAATTTGTTAAATGGTTTATGACTAAATTGGCAAATAGTCAATAGATTTATGACTAAATTAACACGATTAAAATATTTATAACTGAATTGATAACTTTTTAAAATGTTTATGACTAAATTAGCAAAATTGAAAATATTAGAACTGAATTAACAGCCGTACAATATGTTTAGAACTTTTTGGACAATTTTCTCTAAAATCTCATTTTGAAACATTTGAAAGGTTAGCTAGCATAGGCGCAAAAGATCATATTGTATTCTAGGACTAAATTGACCAAATTAAAAAATTTAGGATTAAATCAGCATAAGTACCATAGGTTTATGAGTTTTTTGGTAGTATTACTGAGGACATGTTTTGCTAATTCTCTCACACAGGAATTTGATCCGCATCTCAGCTCTTTTCGACGCGACGGTGAGAAGCAGCAGCCCAATCACGAAAAAGAATAAACATACTCATTTTCCGATTTGTAAAATTTCTTATTTACGAGAGATATTGCTAAGTTTGTAATGCACGACCGCATTAGCTCGGTGCCGGTTATGATGTATCGATGGTTTGCCGGCTGAACACCGGCAGCAGAGTGGAAAAGGTTCCTTTACACCATCAAACTCAGTTGAACACTCACACCACCGCAAATAGACCGAGTCGAATGGGTTCTCCCCCACAAAAGCTAATTGCTTTGAGTTAAAGAGCCCCTCCTTTTCATACTCAGAAAACAATAAAAATTCAGATATACATAGTCACCTTCTCCGCGATGACGAAGCTGGCTCCGTGCATCCAAATGATCATATCACGATTTAGTCACTCTACAGAGTCCTCCATCTCGATATGTTCACAAAGTACATCGTTACAGACCAAGGCCTCACTCTGAGTGCGATGTCCAATAAATTAGTCCACTGCAAAAAGGCCAATTTTGTTTAAATTAGACTTGCGATGCTGTACCACTCTTAAATTTAGCAAATAATGATAACATCTTAGTCACTCATTTCTAATAATCATGCGTCCACGTGCTACTGTTGTACATGTATGTGGAGGTAGTGCACAAATTGAATTTTTCTGATTCTGAGAGAGATTTAGGTTAAAAGTAGCCCGAGTATAAAAAGCTTTGCCTGATCATGAACAGATTCCAAGTAAAATTGTGCTTCTTCTTTAATAGAACAAACACCATTCTTACATCACGAATACACAAGTCAATGAGACCAAGAGAGAGAAACATCATATATCCAAGAAAATTCAGTGTCGAATGCATAAGGTACCTGATCAACACAAACACGCATTGCAAGACACCAGCAACTCCTGTCCAAACTGGAGGTCCAGAGGTCTCGAGTGAATCTTGAATTAACAGGCCCACAGATGCTGCCAGAGAGACGAATGAAACAACATAGGCAAAGAAAAGCCAAAGCTTCAACCTGTACATTGAAAAGAAAATTATCAATCATTGCCCAAGAGGATCAGCGAGGAACCCCCTCATCTATCTCAATTTTAAGGAGAACAAGCAAATACTGCAGCTACTTAAAGCATCAAACGCATGCAAAGTGTCATCCTCAAGGAAAACACAAGCAAGTGCAGGCTGGCGAAGTTCCATAGTCACTATCACGACAGCTGCAGAAAGGCCAATTTTTGCCCCAATCATTTGGTATCATCATCACTGGAAGCAGTAGAACATGGTATAGAAAGAATAAAAAAATTAGAGCATAAGATCATAACTACAGAATCAGGATCCTATTTTAAGAACAGCACAATGCACCATTCACATTGCTTATAGCGATAAAAGCAATCAGTGACAGGACAAGCATTGGATGTGCAAGCATAAACCACATGATAATACATCCTAAGCAAGTGTATCGAGGGAAATCAATAGAGTAATTCCACTGGACGCCCAGATAGCTGATGTAAAGGGGCATGCCAGCATTCTCTTAAAGGTTACCACATGTTTTCAAAGCTCAACACGGTTTACGTGATAAATCTGTGATTGCTCTAGAAAATGAGCATGTATCATGCCTGACAGAAATCCATCCAACTGCTGTTGATAAAGGAATAGCAATATGGTTATATCTGTGAACATGTGTCTTGACAGAATATCAGTAGTCTCCTTTTCCCCTTTCCCAACCCCACTACAACACCCCCAGCCCCCCCGGAAATGTCACCAAGCACTTATCCCTCAGGAAATCATACAGCCAAATGACTCCAACCGGTCTAGTTACTCATCAGAAAAATACAAGAAATTACTGCTCAAAAAAAGCATAACAACAACATTCCAAGTCGAGAGATTATAAAGTCCAATTGGATTCCACAAGCATGAATACAACCTAGCATCAATAAATAAATGAATATGTGATTTGTTACGTAAACACCTTAAACCAATCTTTAGAGCCTTTAAATGGTAACAAGATGGCAGTAGTGACATCTTATCCAGAAAAATTCAATGTAATGGCTCAGAAAGTCATTCTCATATTGCTCAGAAAAAGTTCCCTCTCATGTTGTTCTTGTATATTTTTCATCTGCTGATAAATACTCCAAGAAGATAACTAAAGCCAACCTTTGCAAGCCTATACTAACAGCAAAACAAAAGCTCCATCCGCTCTCTTTAAGTATGGCACAGAGACCTCACTATCCTGATGATCAAAACGGAGAATACACAAGATTGACCAGTAAATGGAGCCAATTTTGGTACTTCAACCTGGACTATCATATAGTATTTTGAACCTCTTAAGTTTGACCTGTGTAAACTCCTCCATTATCACAGACAAACACTCTCCAGTCCATTTATTGTTTCAAGCAAGTATTGTAAATTCAAAAAGACTGATCATCCAGAGGCAACAACGGCACTGCACCAAGGAAAAGGAAATTGCTTTTGTTGTGTGCTTAGTCTCCTAGTAACACTATCTCATGCATCATGAGAAGACTAGATCTTTGAAAGAAGCAATAAAATGGGTGTTGCCTTTCAGTCATGGATACAAATAAATAGTGTAGGCATGCCTCTTCAAAAAGCACAAATAGCAAACACCCGATTTGAGATGGGAAGAATAGCGTCCAAAACAGTGACCCTCGAGGACGAAAGCTGCTCTTGCTCTTTAAAAACTGGTTCTCGTGAACAAGGAAGAAGGGCTACTTCACTCAAGCTCGAATGAAACCGGACATTTTTCTTTCGCAGCTCTAAAGGGAGGGAAGTCAACAGTCAAGAGAGGGTTTCAATCAACAAGAAAGTCACGAAAGAGAGAAGATGGTGCTTTTCGCTTCTTGATCCCCTCCTCTCCTTTCAGTCAAGCTGTCAGTCAGCGCCCTCACTCTATTTCTGAGATCCAAAGGTAGTCAAGTAGCATCACATTCCTGTACCCCATTTGTTCTAGTTCTCAAACCGAGAAAGTTCAATATTTGGGCCGTTTAATACACTACACAAGCACCAACTCAGTCTAAAAGGTAATCCTGCATATTAGAAGTTTCGGGCATTCTCCAACAAGTCCTAATTTCCCATCAGAAGCTCAAGCAGATCACTTCCACTGAGCAAAACAACACATCGGAGAAGCAAACAAAAGGTGGAAGAACAGAAGGCTAACCAACCTCCACTCGCCTTCATCGTAAGGAGAGTAGTCGATGTCTTCCTTCCTCACGCAATTGAACATCAGCGCAGCCAAAGAGGCGAAGATACCTTTCAAGAGGCGAATCGAAAACCCGTCAATCGCCGCCCTCTACCACGCAACACGTGCACAGCGGAGAGCAAAACCTCAACCATCGAAATCAAATCCCCGAACCTCGTACACGCACACACACGTGGAGAGATCGAAGCGAGCGCACGTACCGGGGAGGTAGTGGACGAAGGAGACCGTGACGGAGCTGCACACGACGGCGTCGACCCAGAACCACCACCCGGCGCCGAACACGGCGCCGGCGACGCCCGGCCCGAAGATCGCCCACAGTTCGGCCAAATCCATGGGAAGGCTACAGGGGGTTTCGGGAGATCGAACGCGAAATCGGATCGACTCCGATTGGGGAAGAGGGAAGCAGAGAAATCGAGAGAGATGGTAGCGTCGCGTGTTCGTCTTCTGAGCACACGAAGGAGGAAGACGAACGCGAGCTCGTGTGTACAACTTCCGGTCTGCAACTTTACTGCTGGCGGAAATTGTTTTTGTTTTATAATAAGTCTCTTTTATCTTTAATTGGCAAGACCGAGAAAAGCGAATTTAATTACGAAAAATCCCAAATCCGTACGCCTGTCACAAATTTGTCGCAAACTGATTTTTTTATCACTAAAAATTTCAAACTAGTATACCTAACCCCAAACTGATACATTTGTGATAAATTTACCCTCTGTTAGTTTTCCATTAAATTTGATTAGTATCGCGAAAAACCACAAGCCGGTACACGTGCGACAAACAGATAATAAAACTCCAAACTGGTACACTCGTCGACTGCCACGTGTCATACAACTCAGCAACTTGATAGTAAAATTTAACGGAAATTAATGCAGGGTAAATTTGTCACATGTGCACTAGTTTGGGGTTTTTGGTTAGTTTGGTGTAAATTTGTCATAAACGTATCAATTTAGGATTTTTCGTGATATAAATCGTTAATTTTATGATAAGATGTTTGAATTTATATTTAAAATACATTTTTTCGCGAAAAATGAATAACTTGAGAAATATTTTTTCCTAAATAATGGTATCGCTTACGAAAATGAATTGGCAAAAAATATTTTCATTGTCAAATTATTGTCAATGATGAAAACATTTTCCGTTCACTAATTAACTATTTCTTTTCTCTTTTGAGGAAAAAATCCGCAAGTTTAAATGTCCGTAATTAGAGATTACCATTGAGGGAGTCTAAAAGTCAAAGTTAATGTTTTGTCCACTCTCACGAGACGTGGTAAATGGCATAATCAAAGTGAAGTGTTGTACTTGTAAACTATTAGGGATTACATGAAGATTTTTTCGAGAATTTCCCAAGAAATTGAGCGCTTGACGATGTGGAAATCAAACCTTAATCGATACAAATCAGTCCATTCCTTAATTACTAAGTAAGCTAATTCTACAGGCTCAAAATTAGTCATTAATGGGGGTAAAAACGCGATAAGAATGTTTTTCAATGTCTTATTGGTGAATCTTTTATTTTTCACGTGATCTTTCTAGTCAATTTCCATATCAATGAATGGTAAAAAACCCTCTCAAATAATTTCAGCGGGGTATGTAAAATTATTGAAATTCGGTCTTAAAAAACACCAAGAAGGGGGGGGGGGGGCTATTTGCAATAAAACTCAATAGTTCTGGGGTACGTGAAAATAATGAAATTATTGGGGCCTACTCGCAAATTGCAAAGTGACCCCAAAACTTCGAGGGTAAAAGCGGTTCCTGAATTATTTATTCCATTTTCTTCCCCATCCAGACCCGACCGTGTCGGAGCGCTCTCGGCCAAGCCCATGGGTTCGATTGACCCGCCAAAAGCCGAGCAAAACGGCACCGCGGCCGCCGCCGACCCCGACCGGAAGCCCGCCGCGGGAGACGCCATGCCGCCGCCGCCGTCGGCCGTCAAGCACTCCAACGGCACCGCGGCGGAGCCCGACGCCGCGACGAAGAGGAGGCGGATGAGCGTGCTCCCCCTCGAGGTGGGCACGCGCGTGATGTGTCGCTGGCGGGACGGGAAGTATCACCCCGTGAAGGTCATCGAGCGACGGAAGTTGAGTTTTGGAGATTACAACGACTACGAGTACTATGTTCATTACACGGAATGTGAGAATTCCCGGTCTCCTCTCCGATTTTAGGGTTTCTGCTGTGAATTGGCGGTTCTAATTCTGTGTTTTGAGTTTGATATTCGTGTTCGGAGCAGCGTAGCGCGAAATTGTGGTCGTGGAAGGACGAGAGTCGTGGAGCAATTCAGAATTAGGGTTTGCTAGTGTTTCGTCTGTTGCGGTTCAATCTTCTTTGGTCCTGTTGTATCTAATAATGCTGAAAAAGTTCGATCCTTGTATTAAGAAGTCCTTTCTAAGGTACTCAGACAGCCTAGGAGTGACAATTAACGAGGAAAGTGTGGCTGTGGCCATGTGACTACTAGTTGAGAGCAGCATACGCAATGACGGAGATGAATCATTTTAAGAGAATTCTTTCTCAGGTTTTAGTTGTATGGGTGGTTGTGGATACTGAAGTGAACAACACCTTAAAATTGTGGAAGAAACTGTTTCTTTGTTAAAAGGTTGTGTTAATCCAGGTTTTTCTTGCATGCCAATCTTGTTTTGAAATAACTATCGTATGAACATTAGTAGAAAGGTAATGGAGGACTGAGACCTTATGGTTGTGATTTTGGGGCAAGCTATTTTAAAAATTTATGTAACTTTGCGGCTGCTTGTCGACTTATTGCTTCTTTAATCTATTTGTTATTCTTTCTGACAGTCAACAGGAGGCTTGATGAATGGGTGAAACTTGAACAGCTTGATCTTGATTCTGTAGAGACTGTTGTTGATGAGAAAGTGGAGGACAAGGTAATGTCTAGGTTGCTTAAATTGGGAGAGGTTTCCCTTCTACTTTCACTGACAACCTTACTTCTTATGATTTACCAGGTGACAGGATTAAAAATGACACGTCACCAAAAGCGGAAGATTGATGAGACGCACGTGGAGGTAAGCTTGATCTGGCCTTTCTTATCATGTTTTTTTGATATAGGCTTATTTCTTCAAATGGGGACTGGAAAGGAAGAAGGTACTGCAGGGCAGCGTGTCAGTATAGATACCCTGCTGAGTTAGCAGCGGATTGTTTTAGCTGTCAGTAGGGGATATTTTATAATACAACAGGAGAGTCAATCTATTGTATGTCAAGATGGAGCCTACTGTCTGATACAAATAATAGATTTCTTACAAAGTAAGTTAAATAAATAGTGCAACGGAAATGATAGAGGATTAATGTCTGCTTTTAAATGTGAAAGAAGCAATTGAAGTTAAAAAATGCATTTGATGGGCTCTTGGCAAATCTCCAAAGGGCCGAATACATAAATAACTACCTCACTATTGTATTATAACCCAAAGATATTTACAACGAATAGGGGCATGAGGAGCTTGACGCTGCCAGTCTGCGTGAACATGAAGAATTCACCAAAGTGAAGAATATCGCAACCATAGAGCTTGGAAGATACGAGATTGAGACATGGTACTTCTCTCCCTTTCCACCAGAATACAATGATTGTTCGAAGCTCTACTTTTGTGAGTTTTGCCTCAATTTTATGAAGCGCAAGGAACAGCTTCAAAGGCACATGGTGAGCATTTTTTTGATTGTAGTGCTTCGTTTCTGTAACTTTCTTTGCATTTTTGTACCCTGAGGTAGTTATCCAAGGAAGGCCTGATATTGGTTTCGTATCTGCTGAATTCATTTATGAGCAGGTACTTCAGAGCTGTAGTTGTTGAATCTGTTGTAATCTGTAATCTATATGCTTATAGCAATTAAAAGAAGCCCCTTTAGTCTGTGCTTGAACTAGCGAGGAGAGTAAAGTAATGTTAGTTATGTGATATTGGGATAGAAAATTAGGTGTAATGGTGGGTGGGGAACAATTGTTTTTAGTTCTCAACCCCATCCTCCATTCTCTATTTTCCCTTCTCCCTCCTCCTTCCTCCTTTTCTCCGCTCCCAGCAAAAAGAAATCAGAAATATTTGAAAAAGGAGGTGAGAAGAAATAAAAGAAAGAAAAGGATGTCACAAAGAAATAAAAGAAGGAAAGTGAAAAAATTAAATATCTGTGCTGGAGCTTTATTGATGTGACTGCAGTTTAGAAGCAGCTGTAATTGTGTATAGGACTGGATCACTTGCTGATATATTGTCGTTGCATTGTTTGGAAGTTAGTTTCTCAGTTGAATCAACTCTACAGTATGTGTTGAGCTCATTGTTTGGATAGCTTAGTTCTCTTCAGAAGACTCTGTTTAACTTTGTCTTTAATCACTCTAGAAGTGTAAACATCGCCTGGGCCTCTGCTTTTACATTTTTAATAGATTTATGTCTTTGCAAGTTTAATCGTTTGAGGTTGTAGCTTTATGGCTCTCTCTAATGTCCAAGATTAGTTAACTCTCTGAGTGATTTTGTTTCTACATTTGAACTATTTGCAGAAGAAGTGTGATCTGAAACATCCACCTGGAGATGAGATATACAGGAGCGGTACATTGTCAATGTTTGAGGTACACATCATTGTTCAATCATTGGAAATTATTTCAACGTAGTTGTATATGTTTGATTCTTCTTTTCGTTCACCTATCTGTTGTTCGAGGCATATTATCATCCGGCGGATTCTGTTGGATTTTCTGTTTAGTTTACCCTTTTAATTTTCTTTTGGTTTTTTGAAACAGTTTTGCCATAATTTGTTTTATTTTAAAGAGTTTTTTTCTTTTGTGGTCATAGTTCTTATGAAAAGAAATTGTTTTCACGATCTTATTGATTGTTTAAAATCCCCAATTGCCTTTCATGATGGCAGTTTATTAAAGAATGCTTTCTTGTTTAGATGCGATCGTTATTCTAAGTCTTCTCTTTCTTTCTTCTCTGTGCATCTTAGGTATAATTACTCACCCTACCTTGACTATATGTTTTCGATGCAGGTTGATGGCAAGAAGAATAAGGTTTATGGGCAGAATCTTTGCTATTTGGCAAAACTCTTTCTAGATCACAAGACTCTCTATTATGATGTAGATCTTTTTCTATTTTATGTCTTGTGCGAATGTGATGATCGAGGTTGCCACATGGTTGGATATTTCTCCAAGGTACTAGTTAGAGTTTAGCCAGCTAACTTGGTATTGCAATGCAAGAATATGATGTTCGAAGCTGATTTAATATTTATGTTACTTATCTGTGGATGTACGTGACTGTGATGTTAGTTGTATGTGGGGTTGTTAATTGTTGTAGGGATTTTGGTACGTTGGCGCATATACTTGATGAAAGGACTGACGGTATATAGTGCATGTAACCGCGTGGTGGTCCTTCAAGTGATTTAAGAATTACTTTAATGCATCTAAAAGCTACTGTTCTGGTAAAAAGTAGAAATTTGGGTAGCTGGGGTCTCTTGGAGCAAAACAGATTGACAGTGATCACTACATGGTGGAAAAATTTAGCTTTTCCATTAATTTATGGAGTTGTGATGAGTGAACTTATGTTTAGCT